TGTAAGTTGATAATTTATTTAGGCTGAAATTCAATAGCTAAAGTTTTCTTGCAAAAAGAAAAGTTTGACTGTATTGCTTTATATCGTAAAAGCTAGTTATATTTTTTCTATTCAGGATTTTATACCCAGAGTCTGCTTTGTTTCTTCGATAGTCTACTGTAGAGACATGTCATTAGTGAAGTTTTCTTTCTAGCAAAACTTCTTAAAACTCCATATAATCCATATGTTGAACCTTCTGTTATTGCGGCTTGATTACATTTACCCAAGAGTAAGAATTCTGTATATATATTTAAAATTTCTTGACAAGATATACTACTATCCCTGTAGTGTTTTTGTATACCTTCGATTAAATACGTTGAATATTTATTGACAGTCTTTACATAATGCTTCGTAATAGAACTATCTAATGTAATGTATACAATTGACGATGTATCATCCCTAGGAGATATCATATGTTGAACGTCTAAGGCATCATCAATACATTTCTCAGTCCATTTCTTTGGGTGATTATACTCAATCCAACCAGTTCTTATTTGTATGCATATAACATTTTTATACTTATCTAAATTACTAACATGCTTCTGAAATTGGGCCAAGAGCAGTCCTTTTGGTTTGAATAATTTCTCAAAATAGTGCAAAAATATATAAGCGTCTGAGTTCTTTTTTAAGAATTTCCTTACTGGAAGTTTAGCTAACTGTTTCACTCTTAAAAAATAAATAAAGCTTCTTATAGCAAGAATTTTCTCTTCACTACTCATTAGTTCTTTAACAAGGGTCAGGTTATTGCTAATAAAGTTAAAAGTAGATATTTTATGCTTGCTTAATTCATCATTATCCACCAATTGAACAGAATCAAGAGTAAAATACATATTCATCGGACAGTTTTCATTCGGAATATTTGGAGTAATTAGAAGAGTTCTATTTGAGATTTCAGAAAAAATTTTACAAGATATTAATGCCCTCATAGTATTAGCTAATCCTCCTTCCGGAATACATAAGATATATAATTTTTTATTATCCAAATTTATAAGTTTAGTCTGTTTATAAAAACAATATGAACAATTTTCGATTATTTTTAATATTAAACAAACATTTTCACCTTTTGAGCGTGGAATTTATAATGATTACCAATAGCATTATTACTAACTATATTAACTCCTTCTACAAAGTTATTTTTGAGATCTTGTATATAAGTTAACGTTCCGTATATTAAAGCTATTAGGAGGCAGGAACCAAAAATGTAATATAATTTTCTTATTCGCATGGTTCTTCAGTATCGATACAATGGCCTCTCTCTAAAAGAAAATGACAATATTAGTACTGTAATAATATTTGTTATCTCTAAAATACATCTGTAGTTCTACTTTATCCATTCCGTAATATGAACAAGAATATAAGTATAATCATCTATAAAAAGGTTTCAACTGAAATCGATCTAATTCAACATAAGTAAACAAAACTTTTCTTTCACTTGCAGACAAATTTAATAATGGCATATATTACTTTTTATCCAATCTTGTTTTTGTGTAAATCTCGCTAGGTGATAAGCTGTCTATTCTACATACATGTTCTATCTCTTTTTCTTTTCCTAATTCGTATACTTTCAACTGCGTTATAAAGATCACTACTAGAATTTTAATCCCAATATTTATCATTATTTTAAAAAAATGTGATAAGGTACATACCTGTATTGTAAAATATTGTATATAATATCATATCTCACCTATTTGTTTTAGTAGAAACGAAGGATTTTTGCAGTTTTTACGTTTTTTATCTTGCTCATTTACATTTATATATTTAGTTATTTTATTATTTTCAAATATATAAAAATTGGAAAAGTAAAGTCAACAAAACATTCTCTCTCAATATAAAGTATATATATATATATATAAATTTATATATACTGTATATATATGTAAATATACGTATACTATATACAAATTTACAAGTTTTCTACAGAAAATAATCTACATGAGAACGACTTACCTTATTTTTACAGAATATTAAAACTTCATATGAAATTTTTAGTGTAAATCTCTAGTACCTTTACTTATTCAGTTCTGTTTTTTTTACCGTGCTGATAGATGGCGTTTTCACCACGTGCGTGGACTTGCTGAAGTTAAAGGGAGACGAAGGAAAGTGTATCAAGTCTTTTCTAATAATCTAACGTTTAATATAGATGTAATTATATATCTATTACAATGTAATTTTTCTGTGTTAGTTTCAATAAGCTTAGTATTTTCAAAGAACTATAATCTAATCCCTCATATATTGATTTTTCTGTTATGAATATACCAAGAAACATTGTCAGAAGGAACCAGCTATCTCGCCTGCAAATACAATATCAAAAACCACTGAGCAAATGTAAATAACAGTAATTGGTATTCTAATCAAAGAGTAGAAGAATTCTATGGACTTTATAAACTATGAAAGATCCACGAAATGCAAATATTTAATTTATACTCAATTAGAAAGATCACAGAAGAAATTTCGATTTGTTGCCCGACTTAACACTTTATGAAAACTCTTTCGCTGATAGCCTGTTGCGCATTCTACTTTATATTGTTAATTTTTTGATATACTTGGGCGTTAGAAAGGAGTGCACATGGTTATAGTCATCAGCTTTTCTTCTGTATTTTGTTGCTTGGTTTGTGATGTAATCTTCGTCACCGAGAATTCTTCGAGTTTCCCTTTTCTCATGTTTCCTTTCTACTTCCTCTCTGATACGTTTATATAAAGTTTTCTGACTTTCTTCTTCTGCTCGTCATACAATTTCGCAAAGTCCCAATTTTTTCACTAGACTACTGCGACCTTCCACATCCATCCTCTTAAACTGTGGGAAGTTTCTCAAAGGGTGCGGCTTATCGCCTGCATAAAACTCTGACTCCCTTTTCTTTCCTTCTTTATGCTCACTCATGCCCTCATGGGTCATCATCTTACGTTGGTCTATCGCTCTTTCCAGTCCCTGACTTTGTACCTCGGTAGCTCTTGCCTTAACAGGTTCTCTTTTTTCATTTGTCTGAATTCAAACCGAGCTGTTTCTTCTTTTCTTACTCTTCTCTCCATTTCTATCATTTCACTCAATTCGGCCAGCACATTTTCCTATTTTCCATCCTGCATTCTTCCCTATTTGTGTCAAATCGAAGAATATCATCCCCTTTTGGGGTGGTGTTAACTTCATCATCGTCACTCTCGTCTGTCATCTTATCAAAGGCGCTTAGATTTCCATTCTTTGCTTGGCATCGCGTGTTTGACGTGATGTTTTTCTTTCTTCCGTTCTCTGCCTGCTTTTCTGCCATTTCTGCATAATCTCTTTCATTTGCGCTGCCATACGCATTTCTTTTCCTCTTCCCTGAGGAGATACTTCTCTCACTGTAACCTTAACCTTAACGTTTTGGTTTGAATAATTTCTCAAAATAGTGCAAAAATACAGAGGCATCTGAGTTCGTTTTTAAGAATTTCCTTGCTGGAAGTTTAGCTAACTGTTTTACTCCTAAAAAATAACGAAAGCTTCTTATAGCAAGAATTTTCTCTTCACTACTCATTAGTTCTTTAACAAGGGTCAGGTTATTGCTAATAAAGTTAAAAGTAGATATTTTATGCTTGCTTAATTCATCATTATCCACCAATTGAACAGAATCAAGAGTAAAATACATATTCATCGGACAGTTTTCATTCGGAATATTTGGAGTAATTAGAAGAGTTCTATTTGAGATTTCAGAAAAAATTTTACAAGATATTAATGCCCTCATAGTATTAGCTAATCCTCCTTCCGGAATACATAAGATATATAATTTTTTATTATCCAAATTTATAAGTTTAGTCTGTTTATAAAAACAATATGAACAATTTTCGATTATTTTTAATATTAAACAAACATTTTCACCTTTTGAGCGTGGAATTTATAATGATTACCAATAGCATTATTACTAACTATATTAACTCCTTCTACAAAGTTATTTTTGAGATCTTGTATATAAGTTAACGTTCCGTATATTAAAGCTATTAGGAGGCAGGAACCAAAAATGTAATATAATTGGTTTTTTGACATTGTTCTTCAGTATCGATACAATGGCGTCTCTCCAAAAGCAAATGACAATATTAGTACTATAATAATATAGTGGTCGACTAAAAAACCCAGACACCATGAGTTTCGATAGGCTAAACATTGTTTTTATTTTCCAGGTATAAATTATTATTTTTAAGTTGTATATTGTACGTATACATTCGTCAGCTATACTCTATTATAGAGAAGTAGTATTGAACCAGTATTGTACTATGCGGAAAGCTCTGATAAAAACAAGCAGTATTGACCTATTTTTGCAGTATACACAATGCTGTTCTTCTTAACATGCATTAATCAGATATACTTCCTCCTTCTATGCTGATGCTAAATCTACTAACCCAATCAATTGAATATCATTATTAATGTAGAATATGAAAACGGTCAAATATACAATCCAAATGTTTTCTTGATTGTTGGACTTGTCCTATTAAAATTGTTAGATCTTAAGCAATTTTTCAACCTTCGAAATTCAATTATTATTCAGAAGAGGAAAAAAATAAAAAATATGACCATATTTAGAACTTTTCTTTGTCTTAAAATGTTACTTTTTTTTTGTCAACATTGAAATTTGTGAACTATCAACCTTTTAAAGAGTATATAAACCCTACAAAACTAACAGTTGATAGTTCAGTTTTCTAACCGTCAGCTAGTTGTTTAAACTAGCCTGTTTAGAACTAGAAACTCATTTTACTCAATACGTATTCTTTTTTCATATTTTTCCTATTAATATTCACAAATAGGATAATTTTGTCATTTTGTTTGCGATATTTTTTGAATGTTAAAGAGAGCTCAGAAACTTATTTCACCGAAATATCATAAGCCGTCTATATCTATGAGTTACAAGGCGTGTCTTTTCAATTTGTAATTGTAATTGTGCCCTTCTACTGATAGAGCTTTCTCGCTGAAGGATTTGAATAAATCTTTAATATATTTTATAAGATTTCGTTTATTCTAAGAATTATCTGTTTTCAAGGTAGTTATTAAGCTTTTTTTGGTATTAAAATATGCTTTACAAAAGACAAAGTGAAAATACTTAACAAATATTTTGAAGGGAAAATAAGGCCTATAATTCGTCAGTCTAGTCACTTTCTTCGCTACTCTCAGTTTCAGTATTTTCTGAACTAGATTCATTGTCATCATCATCATCATCATCACTATCATCATCATCACTATCATCATCTTCTCCATTGACTTCATCAGCGTCGCTTTTATCTTTTCTATCGTCTATTTTCTCTTTCACTTGTTCAACTGTTGACTTTTTGTTATCTTCTTTCTGATCTTCTTTCTTTTCCTCCTGCCCAACGTTATCATCCTCTTCATCTTCGCTAGATTCTTCACTACTTGTTTCACTACTTTCCTCGCTGCTTTCCGATTCAGTGTCATTTTTTCGTGATTCGGATTCGTTAGTTGAAGAACGTCGTGAACTATCGGTTGATTCAAAACTGTCACTTGTTGATATCGATTCAGATTTGGAGAGAATATTATCATTTGTCCCTGAATCTTTCTCTCTAACAACTTCTTTCTTACTTTCTTGGACAATCGTTTTAATAGTAACGCTTGTTTCAGTTGTTTCCATCTGCTCTGTCTTTGATTGTGTAACAAATATTTTACCATCTATTTCTTCTTCCTTCTTTTCTTCTTCAACAACAATAGCCTTTGTCACTGTTTCCGTTTGATTTTCTCTGGAGATGTCATCTGCATTTTTAGTTTCGGAAATAGTAGTTTGAGATTCCAAGTCCTCTTTTATTTCTATTGATTTCACGACTTGAGATTTAACCTCGACACTCTTGTCAGATTCAGATACGATCGACGAAGAAACATCAGAAACTGGAGTTTCCGACCTCGACGTAGGCGACGATGAGGACGTCACAGATTCAGAAACCTCTGAAGTCGAGGATCGTGCTGTAGAAGTTTCAGATTTAGAAGATTCTGAATAGGAAGATGAAGTTTTTGCTGGAGCGGATGATGAAGATTTCGTATTAGAAGATTCTGAACTTTCAGTTACAGATGTTTTAGATTCAGAAGTATTGGATACGACGGATTCCTTTTCTGATACTGTGGATTTCGAGTCAGTCGATTCATCGGCCTCCGATGTTGTAGCTTCAGTATTAGACGTTTGTGAAGCTGCTGAAGATGAAATTTCGGAGGAATCTATCTCAGACTTTTCGTCTTTGTTTCCTTTTTCATTCGTAAAAACGTCAGGTGAATTATCTTCTTCAACTTCCACTTTAATATCAACACTGTCAACTTTTATCATTTCAGAACATACTATTTCTTCTTCAACAGTTTCATTCTGCTGGATTTCTTCTTTCTGATCGCTATCAACTTGATCTTTTTCAGCATTTTTCTCCAGCACATCTACGAAATCTTTAATTTCCTTTTCTTTATTTTCAACAGTGATTTTCTCTTCTACTCGAGTTTCCTCTTCTGCTTGAAGTTTAGTCTCAACAATTTTGGAGTCTGAATCCTCTCTCTCTTCAGCACATTTTGATTTTAGATCATCTTCATCAACTATATGATTAATAATAACTGATTCTTGTTCCTTATTTTTAATCTCTAGAATAGGTTTAGTCTGAATTTCTGCTGTTTTTTCATTCATATCAGTATTATTCTCATTAGATGATTTATCCAGAATTTTCTCATTGTTAACATCTTCAGCAATTTCATTACTCTCAGCTGCAACTTCTTTTGTGGAATTTTCATTATTCTCATTAACTTTTTTATCTAATAAAGCCTCTTTGTTATCTGAGTCATTGAGTAAATTTTGAGCATCATTGAAAGCATTATTTACGATTTGCTGTGAAAGATCGTTGAGTTTAGATTCGTAATTTTCTACGATGACCTCAGAGGAAACTTGTTCACTCTTTGTCATTTGAAATTCTTCAGTAGTTGTTGTCTTTTGAACATGATTATTAACTGAACATTCAATATTTATATTCTTTCCAGAAGATATTTCCTCTTCGTAGGGAAGTTTTTTAATAAATTTAGGTGGATATTTCCCTTCAGCATTAAGAGGAGTTTCGTGATCGAAAACGTATTTTTGAACTTCGATATCGTCCCTAAATCAATATTATTTATTAATACATTGGAGATATTTCAAGTTCAAAAGGTTAGAGTATATATACTGTATATTTATAAAAAAAACTTACCCTTCAATCCTTCTGGGCAGCATATTTATCCAACAGGTCGCAGCGATTTTACCATATTGATTCTCAGCAGTAACAGCATAGTATCCAGCATCTGTTTCTAAGGCTGATCTTATCTGTTTGACACAAGTCATTATGTGTTTTTTTACTGTTTCAAAACTATTATTTAAGGTTAATTACTTGAAGAATATAATGATTTCCAAAGGCAACCATTCGATGTCTTTCCGTATAAGTAAACTCTCTTGCGCCATCTTTTGACCAAACAGCTATAAAATGAAATTTGTATTGTATTGGTTGAGAAATTCTGAAAAGGTTCACTTCCTTACCAACAGGCTTAGGATCGCCATCTATAACGACTTCTAAATCGATGGGATCACCTAAAGGTACGTTGGCCTTTGAAGGTAAAACTTTTAAAAACCAGGGTTTAGTTCCTTTTATTAAAGGTCCTCTATCGTCCATAGAATAAGTCGGTTTATCCATAGTAGCATCAATACTATCCTCATCAACATAACGTTTCTTATTGGACAGATCTGATACAGAAATAATTAAGTATAATTCAGCCAATTAATTAAACTCTTTTTAAATAACTACCAGTTATAGTTACAGATGAACTACTAATAGTTTTACCAATACTATTAAATGCCAAACAAGAATACAGCCCCGAGTCAGATACTTGAGCATTTTTAACAAATAGCTTACAGGAACCGGCGTCATCGTTCGTTATTTGAACTTTTCCGCTTTCTCGAATAGTTGTATTGTCTTTCAACCTGATGAGATTAAAAAAATACATTTAACGAACATAGTTTATAATTAAAATAGAACATTTTACCATTTAAATGACGGTAGAGGATTTCCGGTAACTTGAACGGATATTTCAAAATCATTTCCAACATCTTTCTGAACCATATTAGCTTCTTTTACGAAATGAGGAAATGTACCAGAATTTGGTATTTCGTATTCCTCATTAAAATCTATAAATTATTAAATAGAATAGTATTAAAAGTTATTTCTAAACATGTTTTTATAATACAGTTTATATATACAGTATATATAGTATGTATTGTATATATTGTTTAAAGATGAAAAAACAATAGATACCATCTACTTCTAGTACTGCACTGCAGGATTTCTCTCCTTCTGAATTCCATATTTTTACTGCATATATTCCGGCGTCAGAATGTTGAACATTATTAATTTCAAGAGTTAATAACCCAAAATCATTCTATATAGAGATTTTTGCTTAGGTTATTTCATTGTAAAGGTTCTATTTTAAGACAGAGAATTGTATTTTTTTTTACTTACAGTTATCCGTAGTTTTTCATCGCTTTTTAGTTCTTTTTGACCTTTGAACCATTTAACTTTTGGGAAAGGATACCCTAAAACGCTACAAGAAAATTTTGCTATGCCTCTAACAATGGACCGTTTTGGTCTCAATCTTGCTGTAAAAGACGGGACTTCGGTGTATTGTTTTCTTCGTACTCGATGAATTTCTGGTTCTTCAGATCTACTTCTTTTAATTATAGAATGCTTTTCCCTAGGTTTCTTCTTCTTTTGATAAATTTCATCGTATTCCGCTCCAGCATCGTGATAGATCGATTTGATATACTTGGGCGTTAGAAAGGAGTGCACATGGTTATAGTCATCAGCTTTTCTTCTGTATTTTGTTGCTTGGTTTGTGATGTAATCTTCGTCACCGAGAATTCTTCGAGTTTCCCTTTTCTCATGTTTCCTTTCTACTTCCTCTCTGATACGTTTATATAAAGTTTTCTGACTTTCTTCTTCATCATCTTCAGCAATTTGTTTTTTAGTTCTCATTTTAAGTACACTTTCATCAATTTCTTCTCTTTTCTTTCCGTAAACCTTTGAGCGAATATGTTTATTGAAATTGAAAGAATAGCTAATATATTAACCTTTTTCAGAATGTATGCGCTGTCCTCAGAACCAGGTGGAAGAAGAATCTTCTCACGTACTTTAATTCCAATGATATTGGAGTCAGGAGATTCTCCCATTGCTCTTAATTCTTGCTCTGATAATTCAAAATATCTGATATTCTGATATAATTCAACATCGCTGGGAAACATTCGTCTATTTCTTCGAACAAAATCTTCCATTGATGACATTTTATCTTGAATGTTTCTTGTCCTACTAACAGCATAATCTATGTGACAATTACCTTCTTGCTCAGACATTCCCCTCTCCGTTTGGTGAAATTCTGTCATGGCTGTTGCTTTTTTCCCAGATCTTAGTTCAAGAACTTGAACGTCGTTTGGTGTAAAATCTGGGGGTTCGGCCCATCTGGACATAGAATAATCGCCAGTCGTAGAAAGTGAAGAACTATTCTCAATACAATCTTTCAAATCAACAATATTTCGTAAAGAGTTGATCTGCTTGTCATTTCCTCTATCAATTTGTCTAGTTAAAGAAGAATTATGATTCGAATATTTCGTAACAGAAACATCTCTCTCCTGAGAATATCTATTTGTACTGGTAGCAGGAGATTTTGATGACGAAAATGTTGATGTAGCTGTTTAAATGAAAATAGTTTAAGCAGAGAAGATAGGAGAAGAGAGATTTTAAAATATATATATAATCAGAATAATTAAATGATTAAACAAATTCAACATTAAAACTTATGTTCACATGAATATTTAAGGTATCTGCCTTAGTTTGTTTATCAATTTTGTCTGCTATTAATTAGCTATGTGGTTCTTTTTAGTATGGAATAGTTCAGAAGTTTGTAATATATGTTAGAGATTTTTTGTTTGGCTTTAAATTTTACTCTATAAGCAATAAATATTTCTATAAAATATCTCACTTAGATCTGTTTGTCTCAGGGCTGCTAATTCTCTTTCTTGGGACAATCTTCTTAACTTTCTAGCAGCAGTTCTTTCTTCAATTTCTCTTGTTATTGAATCAATATCCACAGATTCAGCTCTTAATCTTCTTGGTCCATTTTCTAAAGACCTATCTTCAGAGAAACTCCTTGTATATCTCGAATTTGTGTATCGAGACCTTTCGGAGAACATTCCATAGTTCCTTGTTAGATTGTCAGACTTACTGGTAGGCCTATTGTTTTCTTTATTTCCCCCATACCATGACAAGTAAGACATATTTCGAAAAGTTCTAAAAAAGAGAAGTCGATTGAAAAGACGATTCTTGAAGCTATTTGTGGCGAATCAGCGAAATCTCGTTCGTCTGGTAACAGCTAGCCAATCCTAGGAATGTTGCCATGGCTACAGGTTTTGCGGTTGTTTGGTTTTGTATGGATAACTTCTATTTTGCAGCTTTCCGTATAGATGTTGGTGAAATTTTATAGTGATACCTCCCTTCAAAAGGGCTATTTTTGTGCTCAATATCTATTAATAGGATATGTTTTGAGTCAAATATTATGAAAAAATGATAATTAATACAAAATATTTAATATTTAATATTAAAATGTATCTTAGACATAAGAGATTTCCATTTAATTATAGTTTTGTATACTTTTTCTCAAATAACATTTTCTGTTATCAAATACGCTTGATTCTATTACTTTTTATATCTTCTAAACACTTGTCCTAAATGTTCTATCACGTGATCTTAACTGTTCGTTTTTTTTTGGATTCTATTTGATCATTTTGTAGGAAAATTGTATTTATCAACTAGATGAATTATATATACAGGTAAAAAAATAACTGTTTACACGCTATATTTGTATGTACATTCGTTTATACAGCTGATTGATAAAAGCTCAGATGAGCCATTATAGATTATGAAGAAAGTCATGATTGAATCGTGTATTCTAGAATAATGATATGCATAAATTAAGATAAAAATGTTCAAAACAATTGAATTCTTACCATATATGGTAAAATAATGATTATGAAAATGGAGGGTTTTCTATGGTTTGCATTACAAGATTGTTTTTGCATAAGACTATTTTATGTTTGTTTCTTTAATAAAGAAAAGAGGACATAACAAAGTATATTTTATTTAAAAAAGATCAAAAGTCTACTAATTGAATTAATTAAATTAATATTAATTAAGAATTATTCGTTATTCATTAATTTTACTCTTATTTGTTGTCCATATTTTACATTTAGTATTTTATATTGTCTAGAATCGGATTTTTCAGAATCAGTATCTTCTGTATCTAGTAGAAAAATAGATTAATAGTTAGATTAGTTAATTAGTTAGTATCGTCATTTGTATACAAACTTCTATTAACTGTTAGTTTGCATTGGGATATTATACTACCAATTTCATTTTCAGCTCTGCATTCTATATTTCCTTCTTCTAGTTTTTGAACAGATTTCATTATTAATTTACAATTATTATTTAATAGTTGATTCTTATATCCGTCAAATATTTCTCTTCCACCTCTATACCATCTTACGTTGGGATGTGGATTTCCCACAACTTCACAATCGAACATTGCAACAGACCCCTCGCTGATTATAACATTCGTCGGATGCCTAGTAAATCTTGGTAATGATAGTTCTATTATGGATTATCAATTATTAATGAAAGGTAAAATTGAATAAGGGTAGTAAGAATCTATTACCGTAACTCTCTTTCCACATAAAGGCGTCCGAATAGCCTGAAAATTTACCTATATTTTTACCGTCCAGTGCTAATCCAACTCTAAATTGATAACAATAACCAGGAGTCAAGTGCTTTAGTACTATCGACTGAGAATTTACTGGAAATCTAATTGTTCTAACGAATCTGGTTCCTCGAATCTCTCTTTGTTCAATAATAAGATTTTTTGCATTTTGTACATATTCATTTATTTTTAATATAACTTTTCCATCTTTTTGTCTAACAATTTGTGGAATTTTTGGTACTTGGATATCTGTTTCTGTGTCGGTAAAGCAATAACGATAAATCATTTTTTGTTTATTGTTTTTGTAATTGAAAAGCAGGTTAGTTTTTATTAATATTACATTATTACCTTTGACCTCTTTTAAAATAACTGGTTCACCAAGAAATGATGGTTCGCTTTGTCCAAATAAAGTAATATTACTTAATCTGAACCAATATTTAATACCAGACGTTAAATTGACCAATTCGCAATCTTTTGCTGTTGAAGGAATGTCGGAAACTTTTTCCCATCTTTCATATTTTGTTTATGGAATAAAATAACGATTAGGCAACGAAATTTAAGATTAAAACCTGTTTTTTGTTTTTTTACCTATCTTTCTTTTCATGCATCATTTCTAAAAGGTAATGATCTACAGGAATTTTAGAAGAGTTTTTAGGGCATTCCCAATATAAACAAACTCTTCCTCTTCCAATTTGAGAAGCTGATAACTTCACAGGACCCTGAGGCTTATCTTCAAAGAGAAAAGGAAAGAACAAAAAACTTCATTTTTTCTTTGTATCCACTTAATAAGGTAATTTAATACTTACCCGCTAAATTACGTTTATCTCCGTAGTGTGATCCATTTCTTTCATTCCAATTACGACATTTAACAATGGAATCCGTATCGCTTCCCTCGTCCCTTTCTTTTTGTAGGCCAACTTTAAAAGCGTTTATTTCATTGAAATCTCGACGACAGTCAATTACAATACTACTATCCAAATCGAGATTAATCTACAATTGAATAAATAAGGATAACTAGAATGGTTTCAACTTAAAATCTATGATATATGGATTAGTATAGCAACAAAAAGGAAAAAGAAAAACTGGAACTCATTAACCAGTTTATTTTACAAGTTTTATTTTTGAAAGAAATTCAAGTGGTGTCGATATATTTCTTTACCATTTGCTTATCGAATTATTTACAGTTAACTATAGAAATTATATGGATCTTTTCGTATTATCTTTTTAAATAAATATTTGATTAATAGATTATTAAAAAGATATCGTCGAGTTTGTTCTTGCGCAAAATTTTGTATCAAATTCAAGATGGAAATTATAAGGATTGTATAATGGAAACAATCGATTATTCAATCTATTCAATCTTTTTAAAAGCCTTACCCGAAATGGTAATTCTTCAACAAAAACCGGTGGTAAATTTTTAGATGCCTTACAATTGACCTGCAAATCGTCATCTTCGTACATTTCAACATTCCTTTGTAGTTTCTTTATAAAAACTGGCTTCATTTTTTGTTCTTTAGCCTTCTCCATGCAACTATTCGGCGAAAAGCTTGGGCTAGAAATAAAAATTATCATATATTCTCATATTTATTTAGGCTATCCAGGTATGCATGCAACCGGCAAACACTTTGCAGTCTGCCCTTACTGCAGTTCGGGAGTCTGGCTCGTTGTTTTCATACTTGTGTTGTAACCATGGCAACGAACATTTGGATTGCAGTTTTTCATATCATTTTTGACTTATTCATTAGCTAAAGCCTAAAGTAGAATAATAAAAAAGTTTTATTGTTCTCTTTTCAACAATTTCTTCTAAATTTCTATATACAAAAACAGTTTTATTACGATAAAAAACTGTGTATTAAAAGAATATACTGTATATAAAACAAACATAGAGGTATTGGAATGGACACAATTTATATACTGTATATAGAATTTATATTGTTTGCTTTCCTTTCTTTCAACTAACTTTAGATTGTATCCAATTAACATTTTGTTTTAGTTGATTTTAAACAAAAACATTGTTTAATTCTATTCAATTTCAATAAGAGACTGCATTTAAAATCTTTATTAGTTGTCCCATAGATAATACTATTAAAGAATCCATTCAGAGCTAGAACATAAATTGAAATTATACTAAATAAGTTATTACCATTTTGTCTTAAAAGAAATATAATTATTATATCAACAACAGTTGGAGTCCATGATAAGTAAAATGTCATTACAATTAAAAATAGGGTTTTCATTCCTTTCATACTATTTGATGATTTATTATTTCTAATTGCCATATTTAAATTTGTAATTCTCATTAATCTCTTTTTAATAATCGCAATATGGATAAAAATAAAACAAAGTAGAAAAGTTGTTACACCATATTCAAGAAAGAAGCCTGTAGTCCATAAAATTATGTTATCTTCTAGTGTGATTACACATAAAAAAGGGGAAAGGTATAGTTTGGCACCATTGCTTCTCATAGCCAATGTAATACCCAGAACGTGAAATATTACATTTAAAAGTACCAATATCATAGCCTTCTTCTTATTGACAAACCTCTGATATAGCATTGGTTTGGATATAAATGCATACCTATCCAAGTTTAAAAACAATAAGGTTAAAATTGAAAATCCACTTGCTGCAGGGAACAATGTAGCTTGTATTAAGCAGTTACGTTTCGATAACTTCTTTGTTAAATCGGCAATGAGTGTTGACCAACAAAGAAACACTCCAAATAAAATATCCGCAGTGGACAGTATTAGCATAAGTAAACCATTTACGTTGTATAATTTTGTTGTTGTTAAAATGGTACTGATGGTGCAAATATTTGCAATTAAAATTAGAGCAAAAATCAAATAACTGCACCGGTAAATCATATGAATATCCGGCACCAAAATATATTCGTTTTCCGTTTCGTTGACAACGGGACAATAGAAACAGGTATAGTTGTATTCACTCTTAAAGTTCATCTTGAAATAACTTTGTACCACTAGTAAACAATTGAAAAACTATTGTGATATAAACTCATAAGATTAATTTTAGGTACCTGGAAAATATACTTTAATTATTCTTGATGATGTAAAATTGAAAAGAAGATCAGATAATCAATTTTCTTTTTGTCTTTGTGTAACCCTGACAACTTGTAGCTTGAAAAAAAATTGAAAAAATAAGGGAGAAAGAAAAAGAGAGATATATAGATCCAAGGAGGTAAAGTCTATCTGCACAGAAAGACAGAGTGACAGAGATTGAGGCCACTCACATACAGGAGATGACAGAGACGGACACATAGGGAACAACAAATCAGAAAAAAATGCTGTATCTTTCACTTATACTTATTAAAATTAAAAAAACTGAAGGATGAAAAGAAATATTAATGCCTGAAAAGAAGAGGAAACCGTTTATTGGTTCCTATCTTCTTCCTGTTGAACAATCTATCAATGTCAAGTATATACTGAAAAGGCACCTTCATCCGTAAAGGCGTATGTCTCTTTAACATAAAGAATAGGATAAAAATTGTGTACGTTGTAAAATATTTACTTTAAAGAAGTGTTTAATAACATTTCATTTTTTCTATTTTATATCAATCTATGAATAATTAAAGAGGACAACCAAACCTAATAATTAATATGAACGTATAACTTTGAGGTTTTTATAAGGGAGAAAGGGAGTTTTCACTCTAGATTGTCTTGATAAACATACAAATCTCTTTTTTCGTTTTACTGTTTTGTTTTTTCTTTCTGGTAGCGCCACCTTATTTATTTGGAGTAAGAATCATACTACATGTTTCTATCTACTATCATTATCTATTTTCTTATTTTGATAGGGAATAAATAAATTTACTATTCTATTTAATTTATTCAAGCATAAATCAGATCGCACTGTAAGTATTTCGAGTATTTTAATTATCATTTGCATCCGAAAATGAAGAATTTAAAAAAATATAGGTCAAAGTAAAATAAACGCCTCATTATATAATGGATCTTTGATTGATGGTGGAAAAACTCCAATTATTAGTCAAAAATGATAATTCCAATGAAAATTCACAATTGGACTGTGCTAATATGAGTTTATATTTACAATCTTTCATTTACAGTAATAGAAACTACTACCGTTGGGAAAAAGAAATGTCGGCTAAGGATATCATTATTCTCTCTATATTCTTAACAGTGTTAATAGAGAGAAGCTTTGAATATTGCTCTACGGAAGAAAAATCTAATAGACATTATGGAACTTATACGTCATACGATAATTCATTCGAAGAGAGTCAGTTGACTAATTTGAACAGTAATGTAACAATGATATATTTCATTGGGAGGCATGGTTCCAGACAGGAAAGTGGTAGTGGAATTCGAAACTGGAGAAAGTATTTACCCGAATTACAAGAAATATTAGAGAAAAACCAATTGGCAGTTGATGTTTGTAGAGAAGATATTGAATCCATTATTAATTGGAAGTTAAATATAAGCATTAAAGACAGCTATAAATTACTAGAAATTGGTAAAAATGAGCAAAAATCAATAGCGAAACGACTTTTAATCAAATTTCCGCGTTTTTTTAATAATCTTCGAAATGTTGAACAATTAGATTTTCAATCTTCAAATACTGATAGAACTTATCAATCCGCTTATGAATTTCTTTCAACTATTTTTAAGGGTAGAAATATTAGTTTTAATATTAAAAGATCGCGTAAATCAGATAACTTAATTAGGTCATACAAGAATTTCGATCCATCGTATACGAAGAGATCTGAAAAGATTCAATTAAAAATTGAGAATTTTCTCAAGTCTGATGAGATACAAGAAATTTTAAAATCAATACCAATGGTAACAAACTTAAATTTAGATTTTCATCCTCAATTACTGTTGACTATTTGGAGGTCATGCGCATACGAATATCTATCCTTAGAATCATCGCCATGGTGCGCAGTATTTAATGACAAAGTATTGAAAATTCTCGAATTTCTAGATGATGCCAGATACTATAACCTTCAAGGTTATGGGCTATCACCAGCTCAAAAGTCTGCTTGTGTAATTATAAGAGATGTATGGGAAAATATCCATCTGTCAAAGGCAGGTATGTATTTATTATTATAACTATAAATACTTCCATCTCCTGTCCGTTGGTCTCTGTTAAATAGAATCTAGCAGGTTTGTTGGACGGTGGGGTCATACTGGAACAATGAATACTTTATACACAATATTGAATCTTTTTAACCAAGATGATGATAAATTAATGATTGGAGATATTCATCCAAATCCTAAGAGAAAATGGCGAATGAGTAAGATAACGCCTATGAGTGGAAATTTAATATTTGTCCAATATTCAATAAAAGAACGCTTTTATGTAAGAATACTTTTATCTACGACAAAACAGTTATAACAATCATTTATTGGTCTATAAACGTTTTCAATTATCTCTTCCTTTCAGATGCAAGTCTATCATAACGAAAGGATAATAAAGCTAGACAGTTGTAAAAGCGAATTATGTAGTATGAAAGAATTAAATGAATCATGGAATATGATTATTCATAATTGTAACATTGATATCAACTATTTAAATTCTAGCGGTTGTTCGTTGCATTATTCTCTTTACTTTAATCTTTTATTAATTAATTCTCTAATATTATTTTACTTAACATATATTTAAAAAACTTGATAGAATAAAGAACAAAAAGTAGACAGAGGAATTGTCTATGTTCAGTATTCGTTAACTTTCTATGTTCAATATGGAGAGAGTAGTAATCTACATTAAAATCAATAGTAAACTATGTAAATACTCTCTTTTTAGATGATAGCTCAACTCATATTGTTGCGTGTGTGTGTGTGTTTCAGTCTTTTTTTTAAATACAAATTGTGTGGCTAAATGTAAATTACTGCGTCACTAATTTAACTGATTTTGATACCTTTAGATGTTGTCTCAAATTTGGAGCTATAAATCTCTACCAGTTAGTCAATAAATCCATCTTTTTGTTTAAACTAGCATCAACTACAAACAGGTTAGACATATAGTGAATAGTTGTAACTGATTTTTGAGCAGTGAGAATGATAGATTTAGTTTCTTTTTTTATACTCTTAAAGATATTATCATGGAATGGGAAGATAATAATAAACTATTATCAGAGAAACATAATGAAGGTATTCATATCGGAATCTGCAGGTCACCTCCTCCACCATACGATAACGAAGGAGTTAATAAGGATTTTCTTCAACTCAAAAAAGATAATAAAGAAATTAAAGATTTTCTAGTAAATATTAGTTTGTTTTTCTTTTGTTTTTTATTAAAAATTCTAAGTGATATTGAAATATTTTAGATTTTTAGTGTATTTTGCCTTATCTTATGGTCCTGGCCGTTTGGATTAATTGCAGTTTACTCTAGTCTCTATTGCAGAAGAGCAAAGGCAAACCATAATAATATACTAGCAAAAAAGTACTCGGGCAGAGCATTCTTGTGTAATTTATTGTCAATTCTATTCGGATTAAATAGCTACATACTATTAGTATATTACACATGTAGCCAAAGTAAAGGTTATGATAATCCTAATAACCCTTTAGTCAAATAACCTGTTTCTGAAATACAAAGCCAATATTTATTTTTCAACTATTCATTTACTTTTAACAATGAGAAAAGTATTTTTATTTCACTTTTAGAGTCCTTGGCTCCTTTTCACTTGAATATATACACACAGCATATACCTTTAGAGAGAGAGAAAGGGGAGAGAAAGAGAGAAAGAGAGAGAGAGAGACAGAGAGACAGAGGAGGAGGGGAGTGAGAGAAAAAAGTTTCTTTGAACTTTTTGCTCAAGGTCATGTAGATATTCCAAAATATTATGAATGCATACTAGAGAACTAACATTGCAATTGCACAAAATGATGATAAACTACATGTATATATATAGAGAGAAATATGATAATTATGGATTATGAAGAAACGTAACGCTTGAGGAGGAAAAAGATAAAGAAATACACAGACATCAAATACCTGGAATTTCGGTATGAGTCATTAAAAACAAGACGAAAACTGGAACAGAACTATTTTTATAATAAACAGTATATGCATATATATAAACAACATTTTCGAGGGACAAAATAACAGTTGTTGAGAAAATATGAACGTTCTTTTGAAAGTAGATGATAAAAAATGAAGTACACTGCAATAAGGGATTAGGCTAAAATTCATAATCGATAAAATTCTTATAGTATATATATATATATATTAGATTCGGCGCAATAGGAGAAAATTTCGTCACGAAATATTTTTTACCACGCATATTTACAATGTATTGTAAAAGGAGGCCTAGATAGAGGAGGTAGACTACGCAGAAAAAAAATTATTGTGCAATCCTTCCAGCAACCAATCCCATCAATACCACAAAAATTTTACCCATAAAATTCTACTTATAAAAAAAATATTTGTAAAGACCTTTACCGTTAGGTTTTCTTTTCTAACAAAGAAAAAGAGAAGGTAAAAGAGAGAAACGTTTAGGAGAGAGGGGGAAAAAAAGAAGAGAATTGGATTTAAAAGAGATTATACAGACTGACTAAAACTTGAGAAAATGTATGTTATTTTAATATTCTAAATAAATTAAGCAAAAAAAAAGGTTGATTTTTTTTTCTATTTTAGAAGAAAATTATTAAAAATTAATAATAAAATTTCAATTAAAATTATTATTAAATTACAATGTTTGAAACTTGGAAAATTTTCATTATTCAAGTATTATTAACTTCAGGTACGTATCTTATATTCAATGCAATAAACCCAAAAAAAACAAGAAAAAAACCATGTCAATTAAATTTTAATTAAATAGGAAATATCTAAACATTCTGTATCTTTTCCTACCATCTTCTCAACCATTCTAAAAGAAATTATTTAGAAATAGGATCATGGAAGTTCTCTTAGAAAATCATCGTTACTATAACTATTATTATTATTATTATTCTTGTTATCAGTACATATATACAGTATATATATATATATATTAATATTGTTTATGCATCATCTTTTCTTTATTCAGTTTAAACACTAAAATACATACATTTACATTTATTTATTATTATTCTTAATACAATATTTCTATAGGTGAAAGACTTGTCTGGCACTGCGATTTTGATGATAGTGTTTGTCAATATTCGAATACTGAACTTGGCAAATACAACCTTTTCCAATTTCGTCGATTATCTGATTTAATACCAGATCATAGTTCCATAAATGGTTCTCTTTTTTTTAACCAGTGTTTTTATTTTTAATTAGTGACAACATTTAATCTTTATACAAACAATTTTCTAGTTATTCTCTTTAATAATAATCGCAGGTTCGTACATGTTCGCTGAAGTTAATCCTTATGAGAGGGAAGCGTATCTTATATCACCTGATCTTTCATTTCTGGATAAGATTAAGATTAATGGAATATGCCTAGAATTCTACACTCATATAGATTTTCCCCACTTCTTAAAAGTTTACTTAGCTTTTAAATCAAGGATAGTAAAGAGAGAAATATTTTATACTTCTCCAAACCAAAACAATCTATGGGTATACCAAAAAATTCAATACGGCTCTCAAATCGATACAGTAAAATCTTCTTTCTTTGTTCTGTTTTTTTTTCTTTTATTGTTTACTTTCGTTTCATTCTATAGTTTATCATACATTTTTTTATTATATAAATAGATTATTTTTATTGCTGAGAGAGGGAAAAGAATAACTGGGGGTGTGGCTATTGATGACATAAGAATAATTGAATGTCAAGGTATAAGATTTCACTACTACTTGCTGAATAGACTGAATTTTAAATATCGATATACAGTATAGGAGATAAACAGTATATACAGTATATATATTTATATGTTTACATTTTCGTCTTTATAGTTGCCAATGAAACTGCTGCAACGCCTTCTAAAAATGAAGAAAGTAATTCATAACATAATTCACATTCAAACGCTAAAATCTTATTGTTTTCTATTTTATTTTTGTTCAATCTGAAAAGAAAACTCCAAAACATTACTCGAATGTTCATTCGATACCGATCTTTGTTTTTACGAACAATCATCAACTGACGAATTTAAATGGTTTGTTGGAGAGCATACTCTAACGCCTGAAACTGGTCCGCAAACTGCTCTTAGTGGAAGTTTCATTTATGTTGAAGCATCAAAAGGAGACGAAGGAAATGAAGCATATCTAAAATCGCCTATAGTAATAATAAATCAAACGGTTTGCATAGTTTTCTTTTATCATATGTATGGCATGGACGTTGGAAATTTAATAGCAAATTTAATTATTAACGATGAGATGAATGGTGAAGAAAACATATCTAATTTTAGACACGTACTTGTAAATTCCAAACATAATCTTGGCGACATATGGAATGAATTTCGATTCAACTTTCCGAAGAAATATATGAACAAAGTATAAAAAATTTCTTCAAAACCCTTTCCATTTGATTTTCTTATATTGTATATTCCTATATAGAAAGTTCAGTTAGAATTTATAGCTATAAGAGGTTCTGGTATAGAAGGAGATATCGCCATAGACGAAATAACACTGTTAGATGGTAATTGTCAAATATACTTTACACCAGAGGATTTAAATTGTTCTTTTGAGGTTAACGCCTGCCGATATCAGACAATATCAGAAAGTCGATTTAATTGGCGTATTGGAGATCATACCAGTACTTCAGATACTGGTCCTCAAAGACCAATTAAAGGCATACTTTATTGCATATAACTATCCGAAAGGCCACAATAATAATTTTCTTATATTCCCTTTTATAAGGTAAATTCATTTACGCCGAAGCATCAATGGGTAGCTGGAATGATAAGACATTTTTACAGTCTGTGAAAGTGAAATTTACTAAAGACTACTGCCTGTCATTCTATTATCAGATGTATGGAAAAGATATGGGAAGTTTAGATATTTATTTGTTAATCTATAACTCAAATGGTACAGTTATTACAAATAAAATAGATGTATTGAAAAAAGTTGATAGCCTTGGTCTATTATGGAGGTTGAAAACATTTAATATTCCTGAGAAAGTGTGGCAAAAAGTTTGTTTTATTTATCTATTTCCTTTTCTCTTCCTCTTTTTCTTCTAGTCTCCGATATATTTACGTTTATTCCCATCTACTTCTTCATATTTCTTAGCCTGTTCAACTAATATTTAAAGCCATTAAAGGATTCGGTGTTGAAAGTGATGTAGCAATTGATGAAATACAATTAACAAACGGAAAATGCTTGAAAAATTATAATCCTATTGCCCTACAATGTTCCTTTGAACAAGGCTCTTGTCAATACGAGATTGTATCGGATAGTTCGTTTACATGGTACGTTTCCGGTGCTTTTTCGAAAACGTTCGAAACTGGACCAAATACTAAATTCTCAGGTATTTTCACTGTAATATTTCAGACAAATGTATAAATAAAATGTTCAAAAATATAGGAAACTATCTATATACGGAGTCTTCTAAAGGTAACGAAGCTTCTAAAACCTATCTAAAATCACCAAGAATCACTTTTGAAACTACTACTTGTGTGTCGTTTTATTATAATATGAACGGAAGAGAAATGGGAAGATTAAATGTTTCATTCGTGACATTTTCTAAAAATGGTAATGAAATATTAGAGGAGAATAAAATTCTAGAAGAGTCAAGCAACTTAGGTGATGTTTGGAATAAAATGAATTATCAAATACCCCAAAAAAGCCTCTATAGAGTTTAGATTTATTTTATTTGTTCTATTAATTTTTTTTTAAAAAAAAAAACAATTTTTATTGGAGAGATGTCGAAGTTTTTAACTATTTATATACGTTTCTTTTCGCAGCCTTCTCAAATTATCTTTCAAGCCACAAGAGGCAATGGTTTTAAAAGTGATATTGCTATAGACGAAATTAAAGTAACCGATGGAAAATGTATTGATATTGAAGGGGCTACTTATTTGGAATGTTCCTTCGATTTTTCATTTTGTAACTATATAGAACAGAATAATTCTAGTTTTTCCTGGTTGATTGGAACGTACACACTGAGCTCTCAAACAGGACCGCAGTATAACTTAATAGGTTAGTGATTTAATGTAAAATATTAACAGATAATCATTATTACATTACATTCCAACTTAGGTCCATTTGCCTACGTAGAAGCGTCAAAGGGTAAAACCAACGATCGAGCAGCTCTCTCTTCAAAAATCGTAAAATTTATTAAAACGACATGCGTATCGTTTAATTTTCATATGTACGGAAAAGATATGGGAAGATTAATTGTGATTATAAGACTGTTCAAATCAACTGAGAAGAAAGAATATGAAAAAGTCTCCGATGCAATTATATTAAATGAAACAAGGAATTTGGGTAATATATGGAACTTTGTAAATTACGAAATAAATGGGGACTATTTACTAAAGGTAAATGAATCATATAATTAATTAATATACCTTTAATAATTAAGCAGTATGAATTTCTTTTGTATACTTACAAATAATCTACATAGCCAGTTCAACTAATATTTGAAGCATATAAAGGACACGGATTCAGAAGCGATATTGCTATTGATGAAATTCATCTTTCAGAAAGATCTTGCAACTAAAGATTTATGTTTAAAACTACAATATTTTTCATTTACTTTCATTTGAAGAGCAAAGATATAACAAAACAAAATGAACAAAAAACGACGCCTTCATTCAACAGGCTGATAAACTATTCAAACTTATAAAGTATTTTTAAACAATTCTAGAGTAGTCTTTTTCTAATAGACAACAAAGAGGTTATTACCTCTTTAAACAACTAGTAAATATTTACTGTATAAGGAATAGTTAACGTTTTTACATATAATACAAAATTATTGTTCAAACTAACATATACTGGAAATTGGAAATATATTGAAATGATACTTGTAATAGAAATACTAACTTATCAATTTAAAGGTATCATTGAAAATGATCAATAGTAAAATTTATGACATTTACATCATTAAAAACCAATATAGTAATTCAATTATTTAAAAGTTTCCTTTTCTATAACCTAACTAAAAATGAAATAATTCGTATCTTTTTAAAGTTTCCCTATTGAAAGAAGGGGAGATGAGAGGAGAAAGGGGAGCGGGAGAGATGAATGCATACTCTTTGATGATAAATCCTTTATTTTAAGTGAAATAATTAATTATTTCCTATTATTTATTTAATAAAAGGATCATGCATTTTTTATGAATCTTTGTAGAAAGTAAATTCATTGAATCACTTAAGCCATTAAAAACATCTTTTTTTTTCTCACAGTCAAACAAAGCTGATTAAATTATTTATAAAAGCTAATGGCTCGCTCTAGGGGAATATACTGTATAATCGTTAGGAAATGAACTAGTCATCTGAATGACGCAGTAGGTACAACAAATATCTTGTTATAGGTTAATAATAAATTCTTTCGTTCATCCGCTTTGTGGACTGATATGAGCCGCTTCTTTACCAAAGTGAGACCACTAAATAACACCTCTCTCGAAGAGTCTCTGGAAGATGTTAAACATGAAACGGAACAGTCTACAGAAAAAAGTAAAAGTTTAACCTATTTTTTGACTTTTCGTCTTGGTCTACTTCTCCAGGATATTAGTATCATTGGAATAAAATATACTGCAAATCATGGTATATCGTTTATAAGAAGATTACTATGGACTGTACTTATTCTATTTGGTTTTGGATTTATGATTTATCAACTTCAAGATAGATTCTCCTATTTCTTTAAATACGAAACAACTTCTCGGGCAAAATATACTTATAACAAAATGCTAAGGTTTCCAACCATAACAATATGCAACGAAAATAGATTTTTCTATTCAAAAGCAAAGAGTGGAGGTATAATCTAACCAATCATCTAAGGAAGATTAACCTTATATTTTTATACTAAAACTAGGTCAAATGGTTATTGACAGTCTATTAGCAGTTTTTCCGGCTCTCCCTGCCTTTAGAAAGAAAGTAGTAATAACTGAAGAAAATAAATTTCTTACAAATGATACGTTTTTTGATTGGGGTGAAAAGTATAGGCTATTAGGACAATATCCAGAAGAAGCCATTCTTTATGTAATTAATTTTGCTGTAATTTCAAATAAACGACTCTCTTTTCTTTTCTTTTAATTTTTGCAGTGTAGTTTTAGGCAGCAAATGTGCAGTTCGAAAAATTTTACACACGTTGACACAAATATGGGCGGATGTTTTCAGTTCAACTCCGGTTAGTTGACTAGGACATTTCTCTTTAGATTCAAAAACAAATAGTTTGTCATTTTCTCGCCTAGAAGCCCATGAAGAAGTAACAAGATCTACTGGAGCTGCAAATGGATTAACAGTTTTTTTGAATATTAGTCAAGAGGATTATTTTATAGCAAATTCAATGTCGGCGGGATTTCGAGTTTGTACTTTTGAGTGTTATGCTTCTTATGCTTTCTCTATTGGAAGATTGATATTTATATATTTTCAAATATGTAGGTAATGATTCACGACCCAAAAGATAATCCTGAAATGTTTGAAAATGGTATAAAGATATCGTTTGGTTCAGAATACATTATTTCAGCAACATTATCTCAAACAAGATTACTTGATAAACCCTACGGAAAATGCATTACAGATGCTAATTACCGACAAAGTCGGTGTTTAAGCATTTGTTATTCTGATTATATTGCAAGAAAGTGTAAATGTAGACTACCAGATATGACAAGTGAGATAGAATTTTTATTAAAACATTCATATTTCAATATAGGTAATATAAATATCTCATCTCTCTTCCCTATAGCAACAAACGCAACGCCTGTTTGTGCACCATTTAGTCTAATCTGTGTTCAGGAAGAAGTTCAACTTTACTTCAAGAATGAAGAATTTACTAAATGCCGCTGTGATAGTCAGTGTCTTATTACTCGATATCACACAGCTACCTCAGCATCGGGTTTTGGTCATCACTATATACAAACTATCGAAAAATCAAATATCTCAAAGCAGCATATCATGCAAAATTATGTTGCGTTAAACATTTTCTTCTCATCAATGGTTTCGGAGGAAATAGAAGAAAAAGCAGCCTATACATGGTTAGCCCTTTTGTCAGACGTTGGAGGAGCTTTTGGTTTAATATTAGGTTCAACCGTCTTAACACTCGTCGAATTTTTTGATTTTTTTTGCGTAACAATCGCCGATCTTATTGGAATGAGATATATTAAAAAAAAGTAAGTAAAAATTCAAACAAAATTCCCAATACTATATTTATTGAATCAACAGAATCAAAAAGAAGCAGATGAGCATTGATACAAACACATGAATAACATTCGTCATGCTTGAACAGTTTATTTAAATATATTTAACTAATTTATTTTAGACAGTAAAATGAAAATTCAAATTTATTAGAATAATGTTATTTATAGATTCGAGTAGGCTATAATTTTATTGAACTAACTAAATATTTACGATTCTTTGTTACTGTCTAAAATAATTTACTGTTTTCCTTTTCAGTTGAAAATAATTAACTAATCAACTAATAAAAGAGTCTTTTTACTCGATCAATGTTGAGCAAGCTGTTCCAATTGTTAAGACAAATGAACATCCCATGCTTAATTTTAACAGTCAACCGCAAAAATAATGGGAAACGACCATTTAGCTACACTCTTCTCTCTATAGCTGATAAGCGGATCTATTATTTAGGTTTTAGACAATTTAGTTAAACCTTTTGTAGGACTATTCAAAAATATTATACTACTAATATTTGCGTATGTCAATAGAACAGTTTGTACAGCGAGCGTAATAGTACTTTTATCATTACTTGACGAGCAATTGTCTCAGTAATAAGATGAAAAATATATCTAAATACTGTATTGGACACTTTTTTAGATTACTTATGTTTCACAGCAAAATCCAAATATTAGCGTTTATTAGCTGAAGAGTTGGCTATGCAGTTATTTAAACAAATATTTTGTATGATTATTTTAATTATCTTTGCAGTTTCCATGTGATTGTGGTGAATTCCGTTGAATACAATACTGTATTACAATTAAGTTAGCCGATACTTGGGTATTCGATTACAAAAGAGAAAATCATTTTAACCCTTTTCTTCTTTTTACTAGCTCAATTGAGTATTTAAATCATTGAATTACAAGTATTTTACTAGATTTAACATATCCATAAACTTTCTGCATTCCTTTTTGTTGTCCAATAAATATAATGTTAATAACAACGCCATCTATACTTTACTTTATGGTATTTCGTGACTTAAAAAGGCTTATTTTTAGATTTCTTCTACGTGCAAAGCAAGGTTAATATGATTCATTATCATTTCCAAAACAAATAGAATAAATTCAAGTATATTCATGAATAAATGAAAAATGAAGTCCATGTGAATAGTGTTTATAGTAATTAAAAGTTTCATACGTAGATAGGAAAAATACCATTTAGTCTTAACATTTAAATTATTCACTTATCTTATCATACATTTGTAAATGTTTGTTTGCATTCAATATTTTATCAAAAACAAAACTATTTAAAGTTGGGAAACAATAAAAGAGAGGAGAGGGAGAGAGTTTTTGACTCTTTTAAATTATTAAATGTTCATTTTTTTGATTTATAATTTGTGACAAAAGTGTTTCAGTGCTTTTTTATATTACATCAAGTTTTTATAGATAAAATTTCAAGTTCAAGTGCTATTTCATAAATTTAATGTCATGCAGATCTTGCTTGTTTTTCGTGAGCTTTTACAGTGCAGTATTCAAAAGTTGAAACTACTAAGAAGTCTATTAACTCAACTAAAGTCAGGAAAGTTGCCCCCAGTATTAAACCAAATGCTCCTCCAACGTCCGACATGAGTGCCAACCACGAATAGGCGGCGCTCTCTGTTACTTCTTCGCTAATCATTGATGAAAAATAGATGCTTACTATGACAATGTTTTTGTCGACTTCAGCAGCTGTTAAAGATGGCTGATCTTTATTTATTACTTGAAGATAGTAATCACTAATTGGTGATCCTGATATAGACGATTGATAGGTAATAATATCACACTGAGATGGACAATCGCACTTTCTGAATTCTTGATTTTTGAAATAATCTATCAGTTTCTTTCTTGTGCACGGAAAGTTGAGAGGAGCACAAATAGGGACCTTATCTTTTGCTGTTCAATTAAAAACATTTTTCCATTCTTGTTGTTAAAAAATGAAATAATTATTGATCTAAATACTTACGTGTCATATCTATATCGATACATCCACAATGTTTAGCTACGTAGTTAGAAGAGCAATTATGAAAGCAAGTAGCTTGCCTATAAGTGGCGTCATTATTACAATTTCCGTATGGTTTTGGTAAGTATTTAGATTCTTTTAAAGTCGCTGAAACGACTGTTTCCATTCCCGGAGCAAGTTTAATACCTCGTTGATATATTTCAGGTACTGTATCTTTTTCGTGTAAAAGAATCTTTAGAATAAAAAGAGAATATAATTAGAATTTAGTTTTTCTTTGCAGCTTGAAATTATACCAACTCGGAAGCCTGCAGAAGGAGAATTAGCGGCCAAGTATTCGTGCTGTTTAGTATCTAGGATCAAGATTAAAGGATCAGCACTTCCCGCTGCTGTAGCATAGTGATTCTGACCCCCTGATTAACAATAAAACGGATAAAAATAATAATTTAATGACGATAGATTAAAATTACTAGGATTAAATTGGAAACACCGTCCCATTGTAGTGGAAACATCTATCAAGTATGAATCTTTACATAACTCTCCTTTAAATACGCACTAAGAGAAAAAAATAAACAACATTGTAAAATATTTAATAACAATTCTTTTTACTTACAGAACTAATGACCTCTTTCTGCGTATGTGACAGGGTTATATAAGCATTTTCCCAATTCATGAGAGAATTATTTGCTAAATCTCTATTATCATCGGTAATTTCGATTGTTTTTGATTCAAGTGGATCTGGCGACCAAATCAATTTAATCATCTCAACAGTGTACGGATCTATTTGTTTATAAGGCATTTTTATTACTGGTTCACCCTACAAAATATTATAACTAACCCATTACTTTTGCTTTAGATAGTACTACTCTATTTTCATTACAAATTGTGATAGTAGGAAATCGTATTCTTTCCTTATAGATTAATCTTGTTCTAGTCGTCGTGTCAAATTTTAGAAAATACCTTATTCTTTCTTGTAGCTGAAAAAACATAAAGCCAAAACCGAATAATATCAGAGTTAACCACATTAGTCGTCTGAGGGGCGATAAGCCTGAATTAAAGACGTATTTTATTCCAATTATGCTAACTTCTTGCATAAAATTTCCAAGTCTATAGGACCATAGAAAAGTTGGCTTTTTTTCTTTTTCATCTTGCCAAACCTCTCTTATCATATTGTTTTTTAAATTATTTGTTGTGAGCGGAGCGGATGTTTGAGAAAGTGGTTCGACGCGAGTTGTTGATACTGAGCCATTCATTTTTTTCTTTTTTTCAACCGAGCTGGACGTCCTCTTCTGTCTGAATGAGTGAATAATTGCTCTTAATACAAAATATAAAGAATTATTGATTGGTTTTTTTTATTTAGAGTCACTTACCTAAAGGATAGTTTTGCTTAGCAGATCTAAATTCATAGCGACCAAAATCAAATAGAAGATTATTCTTATGTCAATCCCATAAGAGCTTAAAGTGTTTCTTTCATTTGTAATGAATTCAAGTGAAATACTGGAAGGCCTAATAAATATGTCCTCCGAGAAGCTTTTGTATTATGCTATATCGTAACATGTGCATTTTTGTTGGTAAAGCTCTTTTTATCAAGATCTAGCTTGATCCTAGGCTAAAGCAATTAGCATAGAATAAAATGATTCAATAGGACAATAATCGAATACAGAAGACTAAAAGAAGTTTTCTTCCCTTTTTCTTAAAATAAAGCAATTTTATAATAAGCTAAAAATATAAAGAGTTTGTTAACAAGACAATAGATTTTTGATACATTTTTCAAGCAAATTGAATGAAGACTAAACTTTAACTAATAATCAAGTATTCACTATTTACACTTGCGAATTGGTATCTTTTCTTATACTATTTGTCTTCTATTCAATATTTATACATCTTATGATATAAACATTTTAAATATGACTTCTAAAGTGGTTTTTCCACCGATAAATCTAATCATCTTTTAGATACTATTAGCACTTTCGGACAATTGTAATCACATGGTCAATTTTTGATAGTTTTATGAATGGGTTTTGAAAGCAAGTTTTTACTGGAGTATCTCATTAAAAAATCCCTATTAATTCATTAATAATTAATAAATTAAAACAATGTTACTTTTATTAAAGTACATCCTTGTATATATATAGAAAACCTTTTAAGTACTTAACTTGAATTAAAATAGAAACAATTATCCCTACTTGTTGGGACAGTTGCATTTCTTGTATTCAATAGTACGCCTTTCAGGTGATATATTAATAAAATATTAAGTCTATTTAAACATAAACAAACTTTTAAAAATAGTTTTCTTATGACCTTTTGATAGAAAGAAGCTAGGTAAACATATAGATATTTTGACAGGAGAAATGTTCATTAAAAAGAATGCATTATTACATGTTATTATATATAAGAAATAACCTGTTCTGAATATCATTATTTAGACAATAAGATATCTTATATAAAGTAACATGACGTATTATGGTGCCAAAAGATAGCCATATTTAATTTTAACACTTTTTCTCTATCTAAACTAACCACAACTTTTTATAGATTTTATTGAAATTTTCTAATTTACAAAGACTTTACGTTACACAATTTAACTTTTTCTGTTATCCAAAAATAGTAGAAAAAGTTTAAACATCTTTCTTATCATTATTTATATCAATCTTTTAATAGCTCCTTATGGTTTTCATATACGATTACCTCCGGTTAAATTAGTTTCCATTCAAATTGAAACCTATTTATGTGATTACATACATTAGAAGGATTTACAATTATTAAAATCTATTCAATTTCTTTCAGATATTTTCACTTTTCTTCTATTTATATTCAATTACATTCTAAATCGAATTAATATAAAATGCTTTCAATACGATATAGATAGTAGGTTTTTCTTTAATTTTTATTCAATTTAGTATCAAACTTTAAACGATTTTCTTGTAAAATGTCCACATGTCTTTTGTTTTTTTTCCTTTAACATTAATATTGTTTTGAATACACAGTTTGTTACACAACTTACATTTACATTGATAGATTAGTATAGTCTTTAATGAAACTCTTAAATGTTAATTAAATTGAAACTATTAGAATTATAACATTATAACCAAGTCATATAATATGCAGTCTAAGTATTTCCGGTTAGTTTTTACTTATTTAAATAATTTGCATATGCAGACTATTTGTGACTATTTTTCTTTTTTAGGACAGAGGTTAAAATATGTATGAGAATGATTGCCTCAGAAATGAATTGATATATTCATATTAAACAATGTTGATTTTATATATTAAATATTCTAGTAATTTTCCATCTTTTATAAGTTTTCTCTTTGGTTTTTAAAAAATGAAAAGTTTAAGCAATTTAATATTAATAAAGTATACAATTAGATTCTTAAGAAAGAAACAACTTTCATTAACTTTTATAGTATAAAAGTATAAAGGTATCTTTAAGAAATATAGTTTTTTTTTTCTGCGCCAATTTTTCCAACAGAACTTAAAAAATATACTAATCATACCCCCAGTTCAGATGACGTGACTAGCAGCCTCTTGTCAAAAATAATCTATTTTTAAATTGAAAACATATGCTTTTTAAGAAACGGAAATGCTTTTATCATTAAAAAAAAAAGTAAACTGTACAATTTAAAAAAAAAGAAAAAATAAGATAAAGTATCTTTAGAAACGGAAGTCGTGTAGAGAAAAATTTATCAATCAATTCTATTAATACATGAGAAAAAATTAATAAATTTCAATATTTATCTTTTATATTTTCTTCTTTCAGATAGCTATTTTAGTTGGAGATACACAAATATTTCTCATTTGATCTCATGCCTTCTTCGGAGTCAAGTAAGTTTCAAGAAACGTATAACTCCTTTCTTTTCTTTCTTTCATTCTTTCTTAACTATTTAAGCATATCATATTTTTGAGGATAATAGAAAATTAGTTAAATAGAAAGCAAAAGAGGATAATTAACTAATTTTGTTTTATCAATACGAATTGCTCATTTGTTATTTGTCTTTCTTTTCAGTGGAAAACTACGATTCGTTGACGAATTCTAGAATGAATGAATATACGCCATATTTAAATGGTAACGGTTATCAATCGACATACGGAAAGAGAAAATACGAAGTTTCGTATCAAAAGGCTCAAGCCTACGAAGAGCACAGCAAAAAATGTTTGTTCTAATTTAATATTAAAGCTTGATTCACTTATAAAAAAGCAAGGCTGCATTCTATCGGTCTCTATCGTTCCAGGCTTTAAATGTAACAATCATCCACATCCCCAAATGTACATGAGACGTTCTCACGAAAACTACTCCTCTTTTGGTATTCAGGAATCGAATTCTCCTAAAAACTCTGGTAAATATACAACATTAGAAATTATTATTACTTATTAAGAAAGCTACATTAATCTTTCACTTTTTTAGAAGAATTAGAGTGCGTCGTTCATAAGTTTGGCCTTAGCGAAGCGACTAATGAAAGAGTTGGTATTCAAGAGCAAACTCAAGTTGCAGAAAATATCACAAACTCTGAAGATTTATTGGAAAAAGAGAAAACTTACGATAGTGGCGACTCTTCGTCTGAAGGAAGTATTGTTGGTAAGTAAATTTTTATGAGAATAATTGAAAAAATCCAGATGTTGAGGTTTTTTTGTTGAAATAATAATCTCAAAATTTCTCATTACCTTCTGTTTATTACCTAATTTTTCCTTATCTTTTGTAAAAGCAGAACATCTAGAGAAAGAGATAAAAGAACTAAGAAGAGAAGTTAAAGATTTACAAGTCTATAAGCAAAGATATCAGAATCTTAAAGTCGAAAAAACAACGACAAACAATTCTATTTATAAAATAGAAAATAAGATTGATAACAGTCTAATTGGAAAATCAATAATGGAAGGAGAACATATGGAAATGCAGCAAAACGAACCACCAGTTCATAAGCATCTAAAATACGCTAAAAGTATGATAGGAACCGTTATTCTAACAGAATCATATCCTGAAATTGTTATGTTAGAATACGACTTAGCAGTTGCTTCCAAAATCAAATCGCCAACAAAAATGATAAGAGCACTCATAAGAGCAGTCTTCACTAGAGAATCTTTAAAAAATTGTTCAGCTAAGGGTGAAAAGAGTACACTTCCGGCCTTATTCGAAGACGGAAGAAAAGCAGTTTATATGCGCGTTGCAAAATCATTCGATATAACACTTGCTCAATTTAACGCTGAATTGAACAAATTATTAAATGAAATGCGAAGCGATTTAATGGAATCTCCCAAAAAGAAAAAAGCAAAGAAATTACCTACAGGTTGCTCCCTGAAAAATGATAAAAGTTCAATAAACGAGAGAAATCTCGATTTTCAATTGGGAGCTGTTTATTGATACAATTTGTATATTATATATACTATATATATATATATATTAATATATACAGTATATATTGTTTACTGTTTATTTTATCATATGTATAAGTTATTCTTTGCCATTTTATCATTTTATATGCCATAAATAGTAATATATATATATATATATATTGTATGTGCTTGTACTGTGTTTTCTTCTTTTCTATTACAACTTTATATTCTTAAACAATAAAGTTTATATATAAAAAATAGAGAATAGTCAAACATATTAATTCACAGGTTATCTTCTTGACCTACACAAAGATAACGCTATTCTATTCCTACTTTCAGCTACACTACACTGTAAGTTATTGCTAGGCCATTGTATAATCTAGCTACACTTTCTAACAATGTGTTTTGCTACCTTTTTATTTTAGATATACCTTAATGGCGTCCTTAGAGAGCTCTGTTTCAGTAAATTCTGAGCAGTTAGTGTGCTCAATTTGCCTAGAAAGTTGGGTACATAGAACTCCTAGACTTCTACCCTGCGCTCATACGTTTTGCCATAACTGTTTGGAGGATTTAGTAAAAACTGTACGAAACGGAAAGTTTGATTGTCCTACTTGTCGAAAGAGTACGCAGTTTGCAACGGTGAGCGAATTTCCAGTGAATTTCTACTTTTCTGACTTAAAAGATTATCAAGGAATAGTAAGACAAAATAGTGTTAATACTCTTTGCCCTATTCATAATTCCTCGGCATCATTAATATGTGAAACTTGTAATTATGCGGCTGTTTGTCGAGCTTGTACAGCTTTACACCCTGGTCACGAATTAAGAGGTTTACAAGAATTCTTGGAAACTGCTAAAATGGATCTATATTCAAAGAAATTAGATTTTGAGAAAGAAAAGGAAAGATTAATTGTTTTAGCAAGAAAAGAATTGGAAAGGAGAAAAGAGAAGCTAGATAATGATTATAATGATCTTTGTAAACAAATATCCCATCAAACTTATAATTTAATTAAACCTTTTGATAAATTATACGAAAGAAATTTTACCTTAGACGACGCCAAAAACTTGTATGACATTACTATGAATTACTTGAGTACCAAATGGCACAAGTGGATAGATTATGAACAAAATTCATGCGGTATTGTTGAAGTAAAGACAAGAGAAATAAATTGGTTTGTACCAAGTTGTATGGAAAAAACTGGTAAGGAAGATGAAAAGGATTTTTCTCTGTCGATTCCCAGACAAACGTCTGCGATTAATCATCAGCAAGGAGTATCTGTTAAAACAATTTTAACGTCTAGTACTTTAACAAACAGTAAAATACTTCCCAGTACCGAAGTAGATTTCGTTGAAAAGGACAATCAATTATGTATCTCTGAAAACAATAATTTTTATAATAGTCCACCAATACGCCAAGAAGAACATCAGAAAAGTTATCTAAAACAAGCTAAAGCAGAAACGAAAAGTTATAAAAGTCAAGAGGTAACGTGCTGCTGCTGTACGGAAAATATAAGGAATATATCTGCAACAGCGCTAGGTTTATTTGTTCACTACAAAGTAGGAGAACACCGATTTGTTCATTTGCATAACCCAGATAACTACAATCTGCTACAGGAAATAAACTTTCCTTATAAGAGTATAAGCTACGACGAGAACAACAAATACTTGTTTGCTTTAGATACCGATGATCAAATATTATTTTGTAAATGCCAGTCAAGTACAGAAGAAATGATATTTACGTTTTGGCAATCTATGAATGAATCGTGGAAAAGTATCATTTCAGATCAGAAAAGTTTACTTGTCCTACAAAACGACGAAGAATTATATTTATTTGATGTTATGTATGACCAAACTGCACCAGAACTATATGGAAACCAAACAGCTTATGATAATTTTGAAAAAAGTAGTGGAGTTTGTTTTATTGATAGAAGAACTCTTATATTAGCAGATAAAAAAGAAAATTGTCTTCATCAAATACTAATAGGTCGAGATAAGACAATAACAAAATCAAAGCTGGATTATCCTTTAATAAAGCCACTTTCAGTGGCGTATTCACAACGTAACCGAGAGATAATTGTTGGACACGGCATGTTACCAAAATATAAAATTACTATTATTAATCATATGAACAACTCAGTTGTTCGTGACATACTCCTTAGTTACCAACCGAAACGTTTAGCATATTTTGACGATTTACAAATGCTATATGTCCTGGGAGGGGACGAGTTACACAGTTATTATCTATAAAAATACAGCTGTAATAAGGTGATATAATATGTTCATATCATGTTACATACTAATATTTTTGAATATTGACTTATTTCAGCAAAGCAATATTAATATTTTTATTCATTATGATCGTAATACAATTAGATAAAAATCATCTCGACCAATCATGACTTCAAAATGCTCATAATGCTACAGTTCACATCTAATTTTTACATAGTCTATACTTCTGACTCTTTTTTTATCAAATTTATAGTTTACCACAATATTCATTATAACAGAAAACGACATCAAAGACAGTTAAAAATAGATTTACTTTCAGCTATTGACCTGAAAACTTTTAACAAACGACAGGAAGTTCATTGATAACATTAAATGTAACAAAACCTCTTTAAAATCCGAAAATCTGTATATTTATTTGAACAACACTTACAACAACTTACTACAAACGGCTAAAGCTGGTTACAACTATGCAAATGTAGGGAAAAATTTATTAATCAACAACTAATTATTTCTATCACTAATTCACAACAAGAGAATTACAACTTGTTTAAGTAAAATACATCAGATTTAACAATTCTGTTCTTCTGGACAATTCAAACGCTTTTAAAATGGTATACAAAATTTCGCACTGTTCTTGCCATGAACTCTATTTCACGTATACTTCTTCCTTCCATTCACTTAACATCCGTGAAATTATTCACGTTTACTACATCAAAGTGCATCACAAATACCAAATATAAACTTCCGATCTACTGATAAACAGATGCACCTTGTTATTAAACTTATCTTTTTCTCACGATTCATTCATTATATAAACGCCATGAAATTCTTCAATTTCATTATTCCACTTTGAATAACAACATCTCAACAAACTATCATGAAGGCTTTTGTTCTCTCTCTTCTCCTTGTTGCTGGTTAGTACATCAACCTTTTAAATAAAATGCAACAATATTTCTCTTTCTTGCATCTTCAACACTATTTGTTCATTTACAGTAAGTGCAGCTCCTAAACGCCCATTTGCTCAAGTCACTACAAACTTGGGAAGAATTGTTGGTGGAACTGACGCCGTTAAAGGATCTTGGCCTTGGCAAGTGTCCCTTCAACGATGTACTAGTACTGGATGTACACACAAGTAAAATAACATTCAATTAAAGCATTCATCAAATGCTAAACAGTCTTTTAATTATCATCCATCAGTTGCGGTGCAGTTGTTTTGAATGAAAATTGGGTGTTGACTGCTGCCCACTGCATCCAGAATCCGGATCTCGAATCACATCGTTTAGTTTTTGGTCTTCACGATCAAACCAAACAAGATGAAGCCGTCACTCTTAAACCATCAATTGTTAGATTCCATCCTGATTTTATCAATGACGGTCCTTCCGGATTCCCCAACGATATTGGTGTTATGAAACTAGAATCTCCAGTCGATCTCTCCAGACCAGGAATCAGTGCAGCCAAACTTGCTCCCGCCGATGACTCCGCCCTTGACGGAACCGAATGTACTCTAACCGGCTGGGGAAGATTATACGGATTCGGACCATCTCCCAACATCCTCCAACAAGCCAACTCTAAGGTATTGACAACTGAAGATTGTCAACTTCAAGGAATTCCTCAAGCAGAGAGACAATACCATATTTGTCTTAATGACGATGACGAAACGACTGGAAGTTGTAATGTAAGTATTTCAGAGTGAATGTCTTGTTTTGGATAGATAATAATAGAATATTGTAAAATTCAGGGAGACTCTGGTGGTCCATTGAACTGTGACTTGAACGGTGAAAAGATTGTTGCTGGAGTAACATCATTCGGAGTTTTCGGTTGTCCACCTACTGCTCCATCAGTGTACGCAAGAGTTTCGCAATACTTGACTTGGGTCAACGACAACACACAAGATTAAATATTTCACAATTGAGATTTCTGTTTTAAATAAATAAAAGATAAATGTTTTGAAAAAATATGAATTTTGTTTTGTTATGAAAATGCAGTTGCATTTTATCGAGTAAACATTTTCTTTAATTTACACTTTTCCCAACATAATTCAAGGCATAAGAAACACGTCAGAGCTTTTCTGTTCTTGAAAATAAATACAAGCTGTCGACGTGTAGACTACAACCCTCATGACATATTATAGAAAATCAGATGCCTTAAGTACATCACCTCTTTTAACTTTGCTAGGTTTCATTAATATACAGTGAAGTCAACTTTTTACCGTCTTTAATTGTTAATTGATTTTTCCTCCTCAGAAGAAAATTTCTTTTCTTACTAATGAAAAGACAATTGTGAAACGTCCCTTTTTTTCTCAAGTAGCAGAGAACAATTATTCGAATATTGCTAGAACTGCGATCACACATCATTGTTTAGAGTTGTTTAGTTCAACTAAAATATAGGTTTACTACCTTTTAATTAAACTTCAAAGATAGGAAAGTCACCAGTTGGAAAATTTCACATGATGGAATATGAATCTTTTTCAGTTGTTGAAACTGGAGATGCAATCAACTCTTGTCTGTAGTGCTTGTAGGCTGGACATTCATGTTTTACCCATTTTATCTTTTGCCACCTGGAAATGACTTCTTCATATTATTTTGTCTAAAACCCTAAACCAACAAAATATCTTTTAATCTCTTTCACAAGTTTCTGATGAATCGTTAAGTAATTTAAAAAATTCGAGGTCATATGAGGGTTAAAACAGTGTTTGATGACTTCATGCTTCATTTTATCATCATGACAAGTTATTATCTGACTGATGAAAAAGTTGTGTTCATTAGCTACATTCACGTACGTCTTCCTGTTCAACAGGCAATTTGCTGTGGCTGAATACATGTGTCGTTGTAGTAGTTTTCATCAGGAAAAAAAATCTGATAAGGCTATAAATAGAACCACTTTCTCCGTCTATGTGCTATTTGTTCTACTAACTACCGATAGTGTCACGCCAGTAGTAAATACAATGAAAGCGACCAACAGAAGTCGGAAATTCTATTTATAGATACATAGTACGTATATTTCCGGCATCAATCTTGATGGTTAAAAATATGCTCACTTCCGTTGAACGATATTCAACCGTTTCTCATTCCTTTTTCACCACATGTCGTTTGTATATAAACGATGCAGAATTCAGTAAGATCATTGAATCTGTTTGGAGCAACATGAAAACTTTTATTTTGTTAGCAGCTCTCCTCTTTGCCGCAGGTTTGTTCCACATTTCTTTAATAAGCGTGTGATAAGCTTACAAGTTCTTACTATACACCTTAACCAGTTGTGTATTTATTCATATGCTTTTCACTCGAAATAGAAGCAGCACCGCAGAGAAAGTCATTAACGCTCTCGGTTCACGCCAAGAGAATTGTTAATGGAGTAGACGCAGTAAAAGGCTCTTGGCCATGGCAAGTATCCGTTCAAGCTTGCACCGCCGGATTTTGCACTCACAAGTAAGATTGTCTTGAACAGCTAATGACAAACATTTGACAACACATTCTTACATTTCTAGCTGTGGTGGATCCATAATAAATGCTGAATGGGTTCTAACGGCCGCTCATTGTATTACGAATCCTGATCCTGAAGCTCATCGTTTGGTTTTTGGACTTCATGATAGAAGTGACGAATCCGAGTCCTTAATCCGAAAACCAACTGTAATTAGACCACACGAAGATTTCATTAACGATGGATTTTTAGCCTTTCCAAATGACGTTGGCGTCTTGAAAGTAGATAGCCCACTCGACTTGGCTCGTCCCAATATATCTCCAGCAAAGCTCGTATCAGCCGACGTAGGGCCATTGGATGGAACCGAATGTACAATTACCGGCTGGGGTAGACTATACGGCGGTGGACCAATCCCGGAAATACTTCAACAAGCCACAACCAGAGTCCTTTCAAATGACGATTGCATATCCCAAGGAATTGGTCAAGCGCAGTATCAATATCATATTTGTGTGAATGATGACGATGGTTCAAACGGATCTTGCAACGTTCGTATAGATTTAACAGCCGTCGTATGAATGTGAATAATGAGATTTTTTTCATAAAACAGGGAGATTCCGGAGGTCCACTCAACTGTCCCGTAGGAAATGATCAACAGGTTGCAGGTGTAGCATCATTTGTTGTGACAGGATGTTCGGTAACCGCTCCGGCCGGATACGCAAGAGTCTCAGAATATATTAGCTGGATTGAAGAAAACACGCAATAAACTATAAATTTCCTCTATTTTGAATAAATACAGATTTTACTTTGAATTCAACATAAAACTCTTTAGTTTAAGTTTTCACAATTGACACTTTAATTATAGCATGTAATCGACAATATAACAATCAACAATTCAGATGTTTTTTGTCTCTGCAGCATATTTTATGCGCAAATATAAGACAAGGCGAATTTGTTCTTGAGATGTCAATGCAACAAATTCAAACTATTTAAATATAAGTGATCCATTTTTTCACCAATTTATTAATGTTTTCATTTTCATCCGTCTTAGTAGCTGTATTTCTGCAAGAATTTCACTGAGCATGTATATTAAAATATCAGTTTAAAGGCTTTCAGCTTCAAGATAAACCTTTGCTTATCAAAAAGATTAACATTTTTTAACGATCACTTGTTTGTTATGCAAATATTGTTTTTTAATTTGGGTTACAACTTTTATCCGCACTTAAACTGGGGAAATTTCCTTTTCGTCCAATTTGCCAGTTTACCACGACTCTCCGATTGAAGGATGGATTCATCAGAAACACGTTGATGTCTTTTTAATATTTCCTCTGTTCATCATTTTCCGGAAGGGAAAGCTTCAGTTTCTCGAAATATTCGAAATTTCTTTTCCAATCCCTCTTTTATGGGAATGAGGTGTATTTTCAGTATCAAATCTGTCTTTCAAATTTGTTTACACATGCCAAACATCTCTTGTTTTTCTTCCCAAACATACATGTCCAAAATGTTTTATTCATCTTTTCGCCTTAATTGTACATCCATAGCAGTCACACGCAAAAGAAGGCTATTTGCATTCAGAGCAAAATTTGCCGTTGCTATACAATATTACTCTTAATCATTAGTTCCTTGCAATAGTTTTAAGCAAAAATAACATTTCAATCTGATCTATTTTCGTGTTTCTATTTGTAAAAATACTGTTTCATTTATGAGCAAGCATTTTCCTTTCATCAATTACTTCCGATTCATGTCTAACATCAACTTCTTCTTCCATCGCAGAGCTAAATCATTCTTTGGGCTCAGAGAGTGATGCTCAAAGGTGGCCACATTAGTTATCTTGAATTCTCAAAGCGATTCCTATTTTTTAGGACTATAACAAAAAAAAGACGGAAATTTTTCAACTCCAAATTTCGTAATTAGCCTATTTTGACTTGAATCTAACTTAAAAAATATGTCTTTCTTTATAAATTGAAAGTTATCTTTGTTGCTAAATATAAACTTCCGATCCACTGATAAACAATTGCACTCTTTAGCTAAACTTATCTTTTTCCCACGGTTCATTCATTATATAAACGCCATGAAATTCTTCAATTTCATTATTCCACTTTGAATAACAACATCTCAACAAACTATCATGAAGGCTTTCATTCTCTCTCTTCTCCTTGTTGCTGGTTAGTACATCAACCTTTCATATAAAATGCAATAAATCTTCTCTTTCTTGCATCTTCAACACCATTTTGTTCATTTACAGTAAGTGCAGCTCCTAAACGCCCATTTGCTCAAGTCACTACAAACTTGGGAAGAATTGTTGGTGGAACTGACGCCGTTAAAGGATCTTGGCCTTGGCAAGTGTCCCTTCAACGATGTACTAGTACTGGATGTACACACAAGTAAAATAACATTCAATTAAAGCATTCATCAAATGCTAAACAGTCTTTTAATTATCATCCATCAGTTGCGGTGCAGTTGTTTTGAATGAAAATTGGGTGTTGACTGCTGCCCACTGCATCCAGAATCCGGATCTCGAATCACATCGTTTAGTTTTTGGTCTTCACGATCAAACCAAACAAGATGAAGCCGTCACTCTTAAACCATCAATTGTTAGATTCCATCCTGATTTTATCAATGACGGTCCTTCCGGATTCCCCAACGATATTGGTGTTATGAAACTAGAATCTCCAGTCGATCTCTCCAGACCAGGAATCAGTCCAGCCAAACTTGCTCCCGCCGATGATTCCGCCCTTGACGGAACCGAATGTACTCTAACCGGCTGGGGAAGATTATACGGATTCGGACCAACTCCCAACATCCTCCAACAAGCCAACTCTAAGGTATTGACAACTGAAGAATGTCAACTTCAAGGAGTTCCACAAGCGGAGAGACAATACCATATTTGTCTTAACGACGATGATGAAGAGACTGGAAGTTGTAGAGTAAGTATTTCAGAGTAAATGTCGTGTTTTGGATAGATAATAATAGAGTATACTAAAATTCAGGGAGATTCTGGTGGTCCATTGAACTGTAACTTGAATGGTGAAAAGATTGTTGCTGGAGTAACATCATTCGGAATTTTGGGTTGTCCACCTTCAGCTCCATCAGTGTACGCAAGAGTTTCGCAATTCTTGACTTGGATCAACGAAAACACACAAGATTAATTATTTCACAATAATAGGCAATCAAATATAAATTTGCTTTATTTTGAATAAATACAGATTTTACTTTGAGTTCTACATGAAACGAGTTTTCACCGTTATTGTAGTTTTAAAAATTGCAGAAAGTTTGTGGTTAAATAAGTGAAATAGTGAAATAGTTTTATGGAATTTTTTGTGTTTTTTGAAGATTCACAGATTGTATTGTAGACTTTAACCGAATAATTGCGGCAGTGTTTTAACATTAAAACGTAAAATGTTCAAGATAACATGGAAATGTGGAGAATATGGTTTATTAGTTTTTGCATAAAGTTACTAGTTCACTTATTTTTTTGTTGAAAAATTCATTTTTGTGACAGAATATTTTTGTTAAGTCATGTGAAGAAGATTATTAATAAAAATATATTATAAACAATGACGAATATTTTTAGGACTGTTATGTGCGTTTAAAGGAGAATTTTTTTTTCCAATTTTCTAGGTTTTTCTTTAAAACCTTCTTAAAAGTTGCATTTGTGCTGCCGTATATAAGGGTATTCCAGAATCCATTAAGTGCTATGAAATATATAGCTATTAAATGTAAATGATATAGATCGTTGGTTAATGACATGGTACTTAGTGTTAAATCAACTGCAGTTATGGACCACGACATATAGTAAGTTATAACTATCAAGAACACTGTGCGGAGGCCTTTTCTATTCTTTTTAACACTTTCTGAAACGATTTGAGAAGTACCAATTTTATTTAATTTATTAAAAATTATTAGAATATGAGCATACATGAAGATCATAAGAGCTGATGTAAGTCCGTAATCGACTAATATGATAACCAACCACCATACAGGTTCTTTATGAAAAGTAACTGTGCATAAAAATGCATCAGTTGTTAATGTTATATTTGAACTAAAGAGAAATTTTATTGCAAATATTAACTGAATTCCAAAAATGAATAAAACTATTGCATAAAGAAGCTTTTTCGTAACGATCGCATCGTATCTTAATGGTCTATGGATAGCGATATATCTATCACCATTAAGAATTAATAGTATTTGCAAAGATAATCCAGAAAAGAATGGATAAAATCCAGCTTGAATTACGCATACTGACCAAGGTAGGTTGTGAGAAACGTCAGCTACAAAACTTGAAAAACTCAAAATAGCTGATGTACAAATATCTATTGCAGATAATATAAGCATTAAGGTTCCATTAACAGTTAAAAGTTCTTTACAGCTTATAAATATGTAAATAGAGAAACAATTTACAAAGAGTACCATAAAAAAAAATATAAACATAATTTCATGTAGAAAATGAACACCTTCCGCCAAATAGAAACCACCTTCAAGTAAAGATATAGTTGGACAAAACTTACATGTATAATTGTACTTATTAAGGAACGTTGACGCCATTTTTTCTCAATTGCAAGTATTGAAATGCATGTTTTTTAACATGTTCCATTCTTATATCATAATATTCACTTATCAATTTATTAGCATTAAAAAACTTAATTTATTAATGTTTCTTTCATTATGTTTCAATTGAAAAGAAAAATATAATCTTTTATTATTAACATTAGCTAGTTATAAAAACAGTAAACGAAACAATTATTCAATTAAGACAATAATTGATGCAAAATAAAATACATTTCGTATTATTTCATATAAATTTTATTCTACTCTCCTTCACACTAATAACTATCTTCCAGAAATAAAGGATATCTCCAGGTTATCTATACACGTCATCCAACACCAAAGAATGAGAAAACATTAACATATTTTTCAAAAATTTCTATTCAGCACTTAGCATGATAATCGCTGTGCTTTAGCCATATTTCTTATCATCATTGAATTTACTACCAAAAATGTCTTTTATATTCATAAAAAACAAGACAGAAAGAAATCTTAATCGTTTCGTTTCCAATAATTATTAGAAACGAAACGATTAAAATTTACAAGGTTGTATGTTGATAGCATTGGCTGTAGAGTTTGGTCAATGATCCATCATTGAAATCATATATACTACCAAATCACTTCAAGCAGATTTAACATAGCATTCATCTACAATTTGGCAAAGAGACAATGAATGAAAACTTGAATGTTTAACCTATTAAAGCTATTAATCAGCGCATAACATATCTCATATTATATTAAAAGAAAAAATTCAATCTATTCTCTTCAAAATCAATAATGATTGATAATCATCAATATTAATTAACTTGAGTATGAAGTTTATTTCCATTATATGATTTTATACAAGGTATCTAATATTCTAGGACATCTGAGCAGTCATCTACTATTACTCTATACTGTTGATAAGCTAAAATATCGTTGAAGTCTCTTTCTCAAAAACAGAAACAATATGAAATACTTTTTTTTCTTCAATGTTTAGTAAAAACTAAATTCATAGAAATAAGCCTTGACATTCTTTTTAATTTATTTGTCATTTATTTATTTAAAACGGAAATTTCAATTTTGAAATATTTAATCTTGTGTGTTTTTGTTGATCCAAGTCAAGAATTGCGAAACTCTTGCGTACACCGAAGGAGTAGAAGGTGGACAACCGAAAACTCCGAATGATGTTACTCCAGCAACAATCTTTTCACCGTTCAAGTCACAGTTCAATGGACCACCAGAATCTCCCTGAAGTTTGGAATACTCTATTATTATCTATCCAAAACACGACATTCACTCTGAAATACTTACATTACAACTTCCGGTCGTTTCATCATCGTCGTTAAGACAAATATGGTATTGTCTCTCTGCTTGAGGAATTCCTTGAAGTTGACAATCTTCAGTTGTCAATACCTTAGAGTTGGCTTGTTGGAGGATGTTGGGAGATGGTCCGAATCCGTATAATCTTCCCCAGCCGGTTAGAGTACATTCGGTTCCGTCAAGGGCGGAATCATCGGTGGGAGCAAGTTTGGCTGGACTGATTCCTGGTCTGGAGAGATCGACTGGAGATTCTAGTTTCATAACACCAATATCGTTGGGGAATCCTATAGAACCGTCATTGATAAAATCAGGATGGGGTCTGACAATTGTTGGTTTAAGAGTGACGGCTTCGTCTTGTTTGGTTTGATCGTGAAGACCAAAAACTAAACGATGTGATTCGAGATCCGGATTCTGGATGCAGTGGGCAGCAGTCAACACCCAATTTTCGTTCAAAACAACTGCACCGCAACTGATAGACGATAACTTGTTTAGTATTTAATGAATGTTTTAACTGACCAATATTTTACTTGTGTGTACATCCTTCGATATCACATCGTTGAAGGGACACTTGCCAAGGCCAAGATCCTTTAACAGCATCAGTTCCACCAACAATTCCTCTCAAGTTTGAAGTGACGTGAGCAAATGGGCGTTTAGGAGCTGCACTTACTGTAAAGGAACAAATATTGTTGAGGATGCAATAAAAAGAAATATTGTTGCATTTTATGTAAAAGGTTGATGTACTAACCAGCAAGAAGGAGAAGAGAGAGAACGAAAGCCTTCATGATAGTTTGTTGAAATGCTGTTTTTCAAAGTCGAATAATGAAATTGAAGAGTTTGATGGCGTTTATATAATGAATGAACCGTGGGAAAAGCTAAGTGTAAGTTTACACTGCATTCGTTTATCAGTAGATCGGAAGTTTATATTTAGCAACAAAGATGCCTGTAGATTTAGAAAGCGGGACATATTATTATTAATGAGATTCAAGTCAGAAGAGGCTAAATGTGAAATCTAAAAAGGTCAATATAAGTTGTATTTGAGTAAAACGGGTATTTATATTTAGAAGGAAAGTGAACCTATACATTATATCCTTATATAATTTGAAGAATGTGAAAATGGCAAAGGTAGAAGTATAAATGACTGTTGAATGAAAGTTTTCAAAATTCTTTGCTAGTGTAATTAACCTTGGGAGAGAAGGAGTGATTGTGAGAACAATTGAATTATTAGGTGTCGCCTACTCTGCAGAATTTCTTATGTTATTTTTATATTGTTTTTTTTTCACTTTTTGTTCAATCAACACTGTCAATATAGAACAAAGCTTCACAAGTCTTATATTGTAAATCACTATAGATTACTTTAATTGTTTTTATCATAAGTGTGAGACTTCCGGTGGTTTAAAAAATACTAGGACACAGAATGAGAAAGTAAATACATCATAGCCTTATCTGGTGTCCTTTTCTTCATCCACATTAGTTACTTATGGTGTAGGCAAGTACAAAGGAATGGAGCTATTAACTTATATGTTTTTATTATTCACAACAGAATTCCCTATAAATGATGAAGATAACTATGGTAGCATTAATTACCCATTTTTACTTTTGAATGGTGTGAAAATTACTGTTAAAATGAATGTTGATGGCATTGGCTGCAGTGTTTGGTCAATGATCCATCATTGAAATCATATATACCGCGAAATGACGTCAGGTAGATTCAGAATAGCATTCATCTCCAATTTGTAAAAGGGACAATGAATGAAAACTTTTATGATTAACCTTTTAAAGCTATAAATCAACAGGACTGATAATAATGAGATTCTTCACGGCAGAGAAACTGCTGGATGAATGGGAAGAATCCATCACTAGGGAACTGGAAGACGGAGTAGCAGAAACCAGAAGAAAAATAAAGAAGTATCTGACAATGATTGAGAACGATTATTCACCTAAAGCTGATAACAGGAAAGGAATGGGCTTGATTAATGAAATAAGAAAAGTAGATGTTGAAGCACACATAAAAAACATATACATAGGAGCAGTGGGAAACATGTCTGAGAAAAATGGTATTACATAAAAACTGATACCTCAGACACGACATTAGGGGTAGCCATCTATGCAAGTGCAGGTGGATTCAATAAAATACTAATGTCAAAGGCATTGATGGTTAGACCAGTGATGAAACAACACCAAGGCATGATCTTGCTATTGCATTATTGGAGGTGAAATTGGCACTAGAAGTGAGTGAGCAAAGGAGTGGCAAGAAAGCCAGCTCTATTCTTAACAGACTCTAAAGTAGTCTTAAGGTATATCAAGAATGATGAGATACCCATGGAAAAATACGCCCGAACAAGGGTACTGGAGATACGGCAACACATGGACGCTGACCAATGGCGACACAGCAAGGAAAACCATGCAGGGTCCTGCTATTAAAAAAACTGGCTAATAATGAACTCGACCTTCTGATGTTCTTATCACAAAGGGCAGGAGGGAGGCTGGTCCATGAGAGTGCAACTCACCAAAAGGTGGAAAGGGCCATACGGGAAGCCCAAATGGAAATTGATCCAAAATGATTGGCGAAATATGCCAGTGTAAGAGGAAAAGACGGAATGCGAATCCAACTGAGACGACTAGAGAAGAAGGAGAACAACATCGAGAACCATGGGGTCTTGGACGGAAAATCAGCAATTGGAAACCTACTGGTGAAGAAAATTAATGAAGAAAATTGTCACACTCCTTTGGCTAGAATGAGAGCAATCTTTAGGAAGACCTATTGGCTATTGAATGAAGTGGCAATAATAAGGCGGGTCATTACAGAATGCGACCATTGCAGGAGGTAGAGAACTACAATCCGGCACAAAAAGAGAGGAAACAAAGCATACTCGTTCAAAATTGGAAAAGAATTGGAAGTTTTTAAATATATTGGTTTCGACCACTTTGGGCCCTTTAAACTGAAGAAAGGAGGCAAGGTCAACGTATTGCTCCTCACATGCCAACAGAGCAAGGCGGTGAAACAATATAAAATACTTTTTTTTCTTCAATGTTTAGTAAAAATTCAATTCATAGAAATACGTCTTCATATTTGTTTATTAACTTATTTGTCGTTTATTTATTTAAAACAGAAATCTCAATTGTGAAATGTTTAATCTTGTGTGTTGTCATTGATCCAAGTCAAGTATTGCGAAACTCTTGCGTACACTGATGGAGCAGTAGGTGGACAACCGAAAACTCCGAATGATGTTACTCCAGCAACAATCTTTTCACCGTTCAAGTCACAGTTCAATGGACCACCAGAATCTCCCTGAAGTTTGGAATACTCTATTATTATCTATCCAAAACACGACATTCACTCTGAAATACTTACATTACAACTTCCGGTCGTTTCATCATCGTCGTTAAGACAAATATGGTATTGTCTCTCTGCTTGAGGAATTCCTTGAAGTTGACAATCTTCAGTTGTCAATACCTTAGAGTTGGCTTGTTGGAGGATGTTGGGAGATGGTCCGAATCCGTATAATCTTCCCCAGCCGGTTAGAGTACATTCGGTTCCGTCGAGGGCGGAGTCATCAGCAGGGGCAAGTTTGGCTGCACTGATTCCTGGTCTGGAGAGATCGACTGGAGATTCTAGTTTCATAACACCAATATCGTTGGGGAATCCGGAAGGACCGTCATTGATAAAATCAGGATGGAATCTAACAATTGATGGTTTAAGAGTGACGGCTTCATCTTGTTTGGTTTGATCGTGAAGACCAAAAACTAAACGATGTGATTCGAGATCCGGATTCTGGATGCAGTGGGCAGCAGTCAACACCCAATTTTCATTCAAAACAACTGCACCGCAACTGATGGATGATAATTAAAAGACTGTTTAGCATTTGATGAATGCTTTAATTGAATGTTATTTTACTTGTGTGTACATCCAGTACTAGTACATCGTTGAAGGGACACTTGCCAAGGCCAAGATCCTTTAACGGCGTCAGTTCCACCAACAATTCTTCCCAAGTTTGTAGTGACTTGAGCAAATGGGCGTTTAGGAGCTGCACTTACTGTAAATGAACAAATATTGTTGAAGATGCAAGAAAGAGAAGATTTATTGTATTTCATATGAAAGGTTGATGTACTAACCAGCAACAAGGAGAAGAGAGAGAATGAAAGCCTTCATGATAGTTTGTTGAGATGTTGTTATTCAAAGTGGAATAATGAAATTGAAGAATTTCATGGCGTTTATATAATGAATGAACCGTGGGAAAAAGATAAGTTTACCTAAGAGTGCAATTGTTTATCAGTGGATCGGAAGTTTATATTTAGCAACAAAGATGCCTGTAGATTTAAAAAGCGGGACATATTATTTGAATGAGATTCAAGTGAAAAGAGGCTAAATATGAAATGTAAAAAGGCCAATATAAGATATAGTTGATTAAAACGGATGTTTATATTTAGCAGCAGAGTGAACCTTGATATTATAACCATAAATAAGTTAGAGAATGTGAAAATGGGAAATACAGAAGTATAAATGACTTTTAAGTGAAAATTTTAAAAATTCTTTGCTAGTGTAATTAACCTTGGGAGAGAAGGAGTGATTGTGAGAACAATTGAATTATTAGGTGTCACCTACTCTGCAGAATTTCTTAAGTTATTTTTATACTGTTCTTTTTCACCATTTGTTCAATCAACACTGTCAATAGCGAACAAGTGTTTACAAGTCTTTTATTGTAAATCACTATAGATTACTTTAATTGCATTCATCATAAGCATGAGACTTCCGGTGGTTTAAAAGATACTAGGACCTAGGACACGGAATGAGAAAGTAAATACATCGTAGCCTAATCTGGTGTCCTTTTCTTCATCCAGTTACTTTTGCATAGGTAAGTACAATGAATGGAGCGACTAACCTAAATGTTTGGTCAGTCAATGACCCGTCATTGAAATCATATATACTGCGAAATGACGTCTGGTAGACTTATTATAGGATTTATCTGCAATTTGGAAAAGGGACAATGAATGAAAACTTGAATGATTAACCGATTAAAGCTATACATTAGCGCATAAGATATCTCATATTTTTTTAACAGAAAGAATTCAATCTATCCTCTTCAAAAATCAATACTGACAGATAATCATTCGTTAACTTGAGTATGTATTGCATTATCATTATAACACAAACAGGAACAGTTTATAGTGAGTGAATTTTATAAAGGGTGTCTGTTATTCCAGGACATCTCAATAATCTCTAATTATTACTCTATACTGTTGATAGCTTAAATGTTGATGAATTTTGTCAATGCAAAACAGAAACAATATAAAATACGTTTGTTTCTTCAATGTTTAGTAAAAATTCAATTCATAGAAATACGTATTCATATTTGTTTATTAATTTTATTGTCGTTTATTTATTAAAAACAGAAATCTCAATTGTGAAATGTTTAATCTTGTGTGTTGTCATTGATCCAAGTCAAGTATTGCGAAACTCTTGCGTACACTGATGGAGCAGTAGGTGGACAACTGAAAACTCCGAATGATGTTACTCCAGCAACAATCTTTTCACCGTTCAAGTCACAGTTCAATGGACCACCAGAATCTCCCTGAAGTTTGGAATACTCTATTATTATCTATCCAAAACACGACATTCACTCTGAAATACTTACATTACAACTTCCAGTCGTTTCATCATCGTCGTTAAGACAAATATGGTATTGTCTCTCTGCTTGAGGAATTCCTTGAAGTTGACAATCTTCAGTTGTCAATACCTTAGAGTTGGCTTGTTGGAGGATGTTGGGAGTTGGTCCGAATCCGTATAATCTTCCCCAGCCGGTTAGAGTACATTCGGTTCCGTCGAGGGCGGAGTCATCAGCAGGGGCAAGTTTGGCTGCACTGATTCCTGGTCTGGAGAGATCGACTGGAGATTCTAGTTTCATAACACCAATATCGTTGGGGAATCCGGAAGGACCGTCATTGATAAAATCAGGATGGAATCTAACAATTGATGGTTTAAGAGTGACGGCTTCATCTTGTTTGGTTTGATCGTGAAGACCAAAAACTAAACGATGTGATTCGAGATCCGGATTCTGGATGCAGTGGGCAGCAGTCAACACCCAATTTTCATTCAAAACAACTGCACCGCAACTGATGGATGATAATTAAAAGACTATTTAGCATTTGATGAATGCTTTAATTGAATGTTATTTTACTTGTGTGTACATCCAGTACTAGTACATCGTTGAAGGGACACTTGCCAAGGCCAAGATCCTTTAACGGCGTCAGTTCCACCAACAATTCTTCCCAAGTTTGTAGTGACTTGAGCAAATGGGCGTTTAGGAGCTGCACTTACTATAAATGAACAAATAGTGTTGAAGATGCAAGAAAGAGAAATATTGTTGCATTTTATTTAAAAGGTTGATGTACTAACCAGCAACAAGGAGAAGAGAGAGAACAAAAGCCTTCATGATAGTTTGTTGAGATGTTGTTATTCAAAGTGGAATAATGAAATTGAAGAGTTTGATGGCGTTTATATAATGAATGAACCGTGGGAAAAAGATAAGTTCAAGTAAAGATTGCAATTGTTTATCTTTAGATCGGAAGTGTATATTTAGTGTTTGTGATGTATTTCGATGTAACAAACGTAGATAATTTTACGGAGGTGTAAAATTGAAGAGTATTGAATAATCATGAAATATTATTCATAATGAAAACTTTATGAAAAACTTATGTCATTTGACAAACGCATTGACTATCCGAATTGGTGGAAACGTTAAAAGGAGATATTTCCTGTTTGAATTTATTGTTTTTGAATAGTGTTTTTTGATGATTCGTACCTATTTTTTATTTTAATGTGTAACCCAGTATTGTTTAAATCCTTTTAAGAAGAGATATTTTTTATATATGTGTTGATGAGTTAGATTTCAGTGTGTAAAATGAATGTGTATGCATATTTACAATCGGAAGGGTTCTAGCGCATGTTATATGTATATATTGTGTACTGTATACAGAATATGTGTTTATTAATGTTATAACTGTGAAAAATTGATGTAGAACCCATTAACAAGTTGAAAAGAGTGAACGAAAGTCTTCATGATAGTTTGTTTAGATGTTGTTATTTAAAGTTGAATAATTGAATTGGATAATTGAAGGCGTTTATACAGTGAATAAATGGCGAGAAATGCCAAATTAAAGTAATGTGTTATGGGTTTTCGGTAGGAGGGGATTTTTTTATAACACTAAGGGAAATATCCAAGAAGAAGTATAAGCAGGAAAGTTACTGCGGAATGCTTTATCTAAGATATGATATAACAATAAGGAAATATGTAAACTGTTAAATTTTTTTAACATGTTTTATAAGAAATCTTCAAATACTTTATCCATTATATACGTATTCATCACTAATGTTTTGTTTAAAGAAATTAAAGAATAAGATATATTCATTAGGAATGGAGAGAGATCTAAAGAAAGAAAACGACTTTGATAACTACGACAGAAAAAATAATTAATAATATCAATATCAATGTAGAAATTTCGTTATTTAATATTTCATAACCTTAATTCATTTTGTGCTGATCTATTCAAGAACAGTAATTTAATATGCTCAGAAAAAAGCTTTTAAACCTTTGTAATAGTTTTATCCAGTTTGAATAGATTTGCTCGAATATTATGTTTTTCTATATATGTACAAAGTGTTCTTATTGTTTGTATATTAACACTTCCGGTAGTTTTATACTATTTAATAACTAAATGCAGTTGTTTAGTTATGTGGAAAGAAAAGGAAGAAATATCTGGGTTAATCTTCCATCATACAATTAATTAAGAAAGAAAATGGAAAGATTTTGCTTTCGTGACGAAAAAGCTTACATGAAGCTCTCTTCCTCTCTCCTATTCCAAAAAAGGGATAAAGCAGTTCAAGTTTTATTAAATGGAAGTTAATTATATTGTCCAATACAAACAAAAAAGATAATGCGTTCAGAGTTTCCATTTCATATCTGCAATATTCATATTTTTTTATATTACTTTACGTTTTAGAAGAAAAAGCCTTATACAAAGCATTAGAGTAAAGGACAAACAAAATTTGTGAATACAAAGCAGTTTATTTAATCGACGAGCCATTTTTATTCGAATATGAAAAATCAAACTATAGCAGCTGTCTTTAACAGGAAGCGGATATGAACAACAAAGACACCATTTACTAGTTTTTTTTTCTTTTCCTTTTTAAAACGCTAAAAAAGGAGTAAGTATGTAAAAATAAGGACAGAGATAAAGAGAATAGTAAGAAGGTAAAAAAGATCATTATAACGACTCTATCCTTCAATAGCATATATAGTATTTTTCTATAATTTACTAGCCGTGGATTAAATTTGAATAGATTGATATATATATATATATAAATTTATATATTTGTATACATACTGTATACTGTATATATATATATATGGATAGATACATGTGTGTACACGTATGAGTAGTGTGTGTGTGTGTGTGTGTGTTCTCGTTCAAGACTATATGTAAAAGAAAATATCAATGCGGAGTGAATGTAGGCTGACAAAATCGTATTGAACCTGCGATACTCTGACCTATCGATATTCTCTATAAGGCCTATTTACCTGAGCGACACAGCCCGAGCTTGTTTTTGCACTATTACCTGGATAGTATAAAACCTCTTTATTCAATTTTACGTTGGATTTCAACGTAAATCCGAATATTATTCTGTTTCTAATTCGCCTCTTAAAATAAAATCAGTTTAACGGATAGTCGCTCATGTAAATATCAACGTTAGAAAGTGAATATTCGTTTAATAATTTGGATTTATTCGGAATTTTAATGAAGAGGAATATGTTGGTTTGTTAGCCAGATCAAACTACATTAGTTGAAAACAAAATAATATATTGCCCGGCTTATTCGTCTTTTTACATTTTTCTCACTCTCTCACTCAAACCCTCCGTCTTTTTGTCATTTGAGGATTAGCAACGCTTGGGAAGCGTTAGTCAATAAGGTATTATATTATTTTTTTCCCCCCAAAGGTTTGTAGTTTGTTCCAATTTAAATAATTGGCCTATAGTTTCGTTAATGATCCATAAAATGAGTTTATATTACAATTCAAGTCTACAATAACGTAGAACGTTTAAAAAAGAACCCGGTTTTTTTTTCTGTTCGATTATCCCTTGTCTATCGTTGATATATTGCCATTAGTGTACCTGACTAGAATAGTTATGTTTAATTATCACGTTGATTATTGTGTAAAGGATAAGGTAGTAAGTACACTTATTAGTGAATTGATATTTTAGACTTGAAACACTTTTTCGAAGGATTTAGAACAAAGAACATTTTCAAAATGATTTCTTTTTAAAAAAACATATCTTATTTCTGGCAATGGAATTTTAAATATTAATTGATTGATATATTAGTTGAGCTAAACAACATTCCGCTTCAGTCTACTAAATAATAGTTGTTTAGCGAATAAATTTTACAAGCGTGAGAAAAGAATCTTTTTTTTCGTTATTCTTTAAACTTCATAATCTATAGGCCTTTGAACACTATAGAATTTGCAGTCACACGAACATTAACAAATTTATCACAAAAATATCGGTACGTTATGATTGTATATTTTGTAAAGAATCACATTTGAGAAGGTTAAATAAAGGTCAGGAAAGGTGCGGAAGAATGGAGAGTTATATTATTTTGATTGAATGAAATTACCAGTCTAACTTTCTACAGTTTGAACATTTCTTTTATAGTAATGCTTCGCCTGGAATCCTTTTTTCTATCTCGCCGCTACAAAGGATTACGCATTTAATACGATTTTTGTACAGTGTTAAAAGTATTAGTGTAAAATCTACCTGCGAATTTCGTATATTAAAATATAGAAAGGTATACAGCATAACAAAATTGATTCATTCACGGTTTATTCACCTGAGAGGTAAAAAGTCTGAAAACGTTCTTTTAAAAAAAATAAACAAATAACTTAAAATATTGTAGGTCAACTGTCTGAGTACTATTCAGAGTCATAAATCAACCTCTTAATTACCGACTTAAACCATATAATCAATTTAATATACCCGAGTGTGTATTATTAAATCCAATGAAAAGAGGTTTTTCTTGGCAAAACTGCCTATTAAGGTTCAATTCTTTTGTTAATAGACTGTATACAACGTTCAAAGTTTTATATTTAGTGGATGAATATATAAATAATTAATGTTATTTAAATACTGATTAGTATGCTCTTGTCACAGTAATAAACTGTTGAACTTTTACTATAAAAAGAAAACTGAATCCTAAAAATATACGCAAAGAAAAACGAAATTGAGTTCTCTTTTTATTAAAATAAAAACGATTATCCTTTGAAATTATAACCATTTCCCCTAGTTATTTTAAGTATCTATAACAAATACTCGAAAAAGAAAGGTTCTCTATGCTATAAATAGAATCTTTATTATTTATTTGATGCTGTGAGAAGAGAATATATTTTATTATTAAGATTATTTAAGTATTTTATTTCTATTCAATAACTTAATTAAAATATTTTCTATTTCAATAATAAATAATAATACAATTGTTTTATATTTTTTCAGGTGGTGGATAACATTTAAATATGCCTCCTATTCATCTATCGAAGGATACAAGTTCAACTTACCAGAAAAATGTAGGGATTATTGATTTTATTGATTATTATTAAATATATTTAGTTAGCTAGCCTTTTACTACTATTAAAAGTGTATTTTTAACAATAACTTTACAAGTTAACCCCATTTCTATCCGTTATGCTTTACGTCTAGCTCGGGATACGGGAATATGATGGTTATAAATAGCCTTATCAAACAATATGTAATGATAAATACAGTATGTTTAGGCTTGTAAAATTCACATATACAACGTATATGTGTATATACACATTGGAAGTTTACACCTGGAATTATGATCGTATGTACATCGAACATTTAATGATTATTTTTCAACTACCATTTTTAATTGTAATAAAAATAAATGCTTAATTTTATATTTTACTATACAAACAGCAATATTTTATAATACGATATAACTAATCTCTAACAAACCTTTCTATGTAAAAATATCAAAATACATCGTTTTATTCAGAATATAATGTAGAAATCAATCATCTAAAATACATCTATACTTTTACGTACTAAGCTCTACTCAAAGTAGATAAAATTATAATGTATATGAAAATATAATCGATAAAATGTTGCAGGTTTATGAACAACTGACAAGCGACTATAAGGAATTCATATCAGAAATCGATGGAGTTCTTCACGATGAATCGTTCATCAGTGAAGAATCTCCCAAGGATCGAATTTTCGGTGTCTTTGACCCAATTTATAGAAAATGTGAACGCTTATTAGAAGAAGGTGAACTGTTATTGGATAGAGGTATGTTTTTATAGAAATATATATTTATTAATAATTTAAGATACTTAAATTAACTAGCTCGAATGCATTTTTAATAAACAAGGTCTTGCTTGTGAATAAAAATCAATAAACATCTTTATTACAGGTCATCAATTACATTTAAGATATAAAAATGCTAGTTTTCTCAAGAAGAAGTTTAGTAAGGAGAATAAAAAGATAGTAGATAGCCTAGTACAAATGACTGGAGAGTTACGCTCAAAACTTACAAAGGTAGGTGGATCAATACGTGTTTCCCTAAGATAAATATAACCACTCCGTAATTTAAACTAATTTAAATAAAATCGCGAACTGTGTATCTAATTTTCATGAGAATAAGTTCTTTATTTTATAACGAGAGGATTTACCTTGAAATTGACACCCAAAATTACAGTAATAACCTAATGAAAAGTCAGCCTTATAGTAAATACCTTATTAATTGAAAGGAAATGTAGCAACTCTACATGTATAATTGAAGCACAAAAATAAATATGTAAATTTGGAGTAGTTTAAAAGTATTCAATTTCCGTTTCTTTCAAATCAAAGGAAACCGAACGGGTAGGCTATAAACTTAGCTTCAATAGCTTTCTACAAATTTGGAAAGGTGCAAGCAATAAAAAAAAATTAGGTCATTCTGATTGTATATGGTTTCTTTCTCAAATTGAAATTCTTTGTTGTTGTATCAGTTAATTGCGAGAGATTAAGTATTACACTATTTCTGAGAGACTATGATATTTCTTTTTTGTTTAAATTTGTTCAATTGAACATGAATTAATGGGTCCTCTGATAGATATCGGAATTATCAAAAGGAAAAGTTTTTTTTTGTGCTTTTAACCTATTCAAATTCTATTTTGATAAGTAATCAATCTTATGGTTTATTCACGAATTATTGTTTATTGAGACTTTATACTTGTTATAGAAAAAAATACTCAATAATTGAATTATTAGCAAGAAATTGATAATTTTTTTGATACATTTTTTAGCTTCGATCAATTTATATCGCGAAAAATGACGCCCTGATTAACACTATTGAAACAACTGGGCTCGAAGAAGGGTTTAGGAGTGTTATACAGTGGATTAAAGGGCCTGGTGATAAGCTTCTAGTTTCACAAACAGAAATCGGTGAGGATTACACAACTGCTGATAAATTAAGAAAAGTTCATGAGGAGCTAGAATTAAAATGTGCCGATACCTACTCGAATTATGCTGAATTAAGGCATAAGGTTACGCTACTACTAGAAAGTGGTAAAGGGGAGAAGGCGGATTTAATAAATCAGTGTGATTATATGGAAAGTGTTTGTAGGAACTTTGCCAATATACTCGAAAAAAGAAGGATTTTAGTTATCACCTCAGTGAGGTTTCATAGGTTAGTATTATATCTCTGTAATAATCTATTAAATATAAGCAATATGTTTATTTTATTTTTAAGGTTTTTCGAAGAACTTTCCAGATCACTAGATGACCTCTTAAGAACTTTGCATAATGAAACAGCATTCGAAGATGTTCAAAGTGCTGAAACAGCTTTGAGTGACCTTGAAGGGAAAGTTGAAGAAATTCGTAAGTTTAAAACCCTTACTATTGTTGCATAGCTAATTTATATACTTACTTTATACTCATAGTTCATCTCTACGACGAAGCAATCGAAGAAGGTCATGAATTGCTGAATCTCTTAAGTTTGTCAGTGAAAAATTGGGTAGGTCAAGATGTTACCCCTGACCGAACTAAACAGGTTTGTTAAACAAAAAAAAGATTGTTTGCATAAGCATTTAGCTGACCCTATTTTTTACTGTTTATTATTGTAGATCGAGCATGTGGAAAATCTCTTGGATGCTCTTCAGCAACGTCGGACGAGATCTGATGAACTTGCAGGTGCTAGAAAAAAGAAACTTCAGCAGCTTCTTGAATTAAGAACTTGTGAACAGAATGCCATACAAGCTATTCAATGGATTGCTGAACTCTGTGATACTGTGAATGAACGTAATGCTGCCACTCCTAAGCCAGGAGAAAGGCTAACAGATTATCATAATACCCAACTTCAAGTTCATAAAACAGCTTTAGAAACTTACAATTATGGTAAAGAATTGCTACAAAGAGCTCTAGTTTTGAGGCGAGTTTTACATCAGGATCTTGAAGCTAATCATGAAATGATGCAAGATCTTAATGATACTTGGAAGAGATTCACGAGGGGTGAACTTGAACATGTACAAAGATTGAAAAATGCTTCTCTATTTCATCATAATGTCGAACAATTTGAAAGCGATATGAATGATATATACCAAGAAATGAAAATGGTTGAAAATTATCAGCTAAAACCAGCTGATGCTGTTTGGCAAAATTGGCATAAAAAAGAAAGAATTTATCAACAAGGCCCAGAAATTATTGATATAGGAAAGAAATTATTAGAAAAGTTACAAGAGCCTGTAATTAGAGAATATGGAGAAAATAGAGAAATTGAATTTATGGATGAGACAGTTGTAAACAATCTTCGACAAAAATTAAGCAAATTCGAAGATAATTTGAAGAATTTCACTTCCGATTGGGAAAATATGTTTTCCGCTTATAAGCTAGATCAAAATGAAAACCTTGTTGATGGAGATGGCAATATTCTTCGATATGCTTATCAAAGAAAGCAAGAAGATTTTACACCGACTCACACAAGCACTTTGATGAGGCCACCTGATTCAAGTTTATACTCTACTCGAGATGAAACATTAAGTAGTGTACCAATGAGAGAAAAGTCAGACAATCAATCAATAGAAAAGTTGGAAAATCAATCTAGAGAACAATCAACTAATTTAGAGCGTAATACATCTTTTTCCAAATACGAAGATGAAAAATTTTTCGCTGAGAGAAATAAAATTTTGAACAAGTATGGAAGACCGTACAAGCCATTTAGTTCATTTTTGGCGAAAAAAGAAGATTGGTATCACGAAGGAACAGATAGAACATTAGAAAGACCAAATCAACGTAATGATAATCAATCGCCATATGATGGCTGGCGATCGGATCGTGCAAATGATAACCAACACCCTGAAGGACAGAATAAATGGAGAGATGAAGAATCCATACAAGGTCGTTTCTATTATCCTCAGAAAGCTGATGTATCTATAGATACTGAACAGAAATATGCTGAAATATCTGAACAACCTAACAGTCAAGCACAGTTACATCAAATGCCTGCTAAAGCTTCATACTTTTTTCCGAGTGATCCATCAAATCTGAATAAGGAACCAACATCGCGTAATCGACCACAATCAATGCCTCTTGCTGTTGAAAGAATACCGGTTAATAATACCTATGATCAAACAGACAGAGGAAATATAACAAGAGAAGATCGCAATAGGTACAGTGATCCAAACTATGCGTCATACTTTCAAAGAGGTCACCCCAGGGATTCTGATCCATACGCCTCCCATATGCATAGAAATATGGAAAGGAGTATCCACCCTCACCCACAAGAGCAATTTAACCGAACTAGTGAAACGCCAGTTCAGGATTTAAACCAAAAAGATCAAATTTTGGAAGTTGATCCAGAGCCACCATTCCACGGAAAATCTAAACCACAGGATCAGAAACCATACGACGGGCCAGGATATTGGGATAGTGACAGACAAAAGTTTGCAGATCCAAGATATAGCTCTCAACCAAACAGACAACATAATCAGCCACCAAACACTTCGCGTGATCCAACGCAACCATTATTCATTGACACATCATTTCCTAATGGAATTGCTCAATCTGGAAAACCTTTAAATAAATATGATCCAGAATATGAAAGACTTGCCTCTGACTATCGTATGGAAGAACGTCAGCCTAGAAACTCAGGAACTTATCCCGGTCCTTGGTATCATTCATCCCCAAGAGTCATTCCTTTCCAGCAGCCAACTGCTCCTTTTTATACTGGTGCTCAAGAAACTGACGAAAGTAAATACGATGTTGGTGAGAGAGATGGGAGATTTAGTGAACAATTTGATCATAGACGTACAGCCATTCTAGATCATAATATAGCTACTACAGAAACTCTACCAGAAATGATGCCTACTGCTAAAGATGAATATTCTGATAGAGACGATTCGGTTTTCGTAGAAGATGATCACCCGAAATATGCTACTGGAGAAGCTCTAAAGTATGTACTCGAAGAGGATTTCTTAGAAGATCCTACCGAGCTAGTCGTCTTTCCGCACTGTGGAACTCGAACACATTTTCCACTGAGTGGCTTACATCCAGATCAACCAAAGAATACTTTTCCAATTATCAATGACGATAGACGATATGTAATGAATGGACACGATACAGAATTGGACGAAGAAAATTATAAAACAGGTAGACCCGACTACCATTCAGGAAATCAGGATGTTTCCAAGGAGAATTATTCACCTGAGGAGAGAGGTCATTATAGAAACTATCATGAAGGAATTGATTTTGCTACTCCTGTCAGCGCACAGCAAGATGATAGAATCAACGCTCTACCTGAGCAGCAAAAGCCTACCGAATCTATACAACCGGAAGGACAACGTATATTCAAAAGTGGAAAGCTGATACGCTTGATTGGCTCAGAAAAGCCGCAAGACAATAGACTGCAAGATGAACTTTCTCAGGAAATAACACAAGCTGATAGTTTACCATCGCAGCATCTTTCAACCTTTCGAAATGAACCTTTGCATGCAGCTCCTGGAAAGAGCCATGATGATTCACTTTTATCCGACAGTTTAGAGAATGAGTATGCCTATAATAGGAAATATGCCGATGTAGGAGAGCCTCTTACTCATCCTCCACATGCAAGGCAAAATCTTGCTTTAGATCAAAATTCTGCTTTTGCCGATCTAGTAATAGGAAAAAATCAGGAGAACACTACTAGCAAATTTTTAGAAAATTATCCTCAGTTCAAGGAATACCCTCCGCCACCAGAACCCCAAGTATCTAGATATATAGGAGGAGAATCATACGCAGCCCCAGAAGAAAATTATGAACCTGCAAGAGTAGGAGAAAGACCTCTTGAAAAGTTGCCAATATTTGGCTTAACAGGAGCTAAAGCTTTACAACAATCAAAAGACGCCGGAAATGACGAAGAATTTAGAGTAATTGACCAAAACGATCCATTGCAGAGGGATGATAGATATCCAGCTGAAGATTTTAGAGAACGACGACGTCGTAATATTATTTCAAAAGATAAACAAATATCTGATTCACGTTCTTGGGAAACATGGAGGGAACCTCAGAAAATTGACGAACAAGATGTTGGCTACGGACGTTTTAGTGAAGAACCACGTCAAGACGAAGATAATTTCAGAGATTATAGAATGTATTCAACTGAGATACCAAGGAGTAGTCAAAGACAATCTGACCTTCAAATATGGCCAACTGAACCTATTGAATATTCGAAATTGAATGATAAATATTTAGATCAAAGTATTACAGAGATTATTGATCCCAACAGTACCGATGATCGTGGCATTCACGATGAAACAACATCTCATTTATCTAGAACATCATCAGTGGTTTTGGAAAATCGTCTTGAAAAAGTCACAGGTAAGTGATGGAAAAGTATAAAAATTTTGTTTGCAAAATGTGTTTTCTGTTTAGAACTATTTGCAAAATCCCAAGATCCAAACAAAAGTCTCGAAAGGCTTAACAGCTTCTTGCAAAGGGATACAAGACCGGATATGGACGATGCCTTTATTGATCCAGAAAACCAAGAATTTTGGAACGACTTAAATAGAAAATTAAGAGAGGTTTGTTGATTCTCTTTGTTTGCTACTCTATTAACAGAATTTTACTAATTCTCTTGATTGACAAAAACAACTAATATTTATTAATTTTATTTTGAACAAAAAGATTTACTTCTTGAACTTAAATAGCAGGTGGTGGGCCTTATTTCAGACAAAACTGTACGATATCTAGTATCTCTTTTAGCATATTTAGAATAATGATTTTAGTTCTGAGTTAATTGCTGTGTGCATTGTTGAATATGATGTTGCTTTCCGCGACACATAAAGTTGGCAACAAGAAGTGTAGTCAAAGATTTCGATTTGAAACGTGAGATATTACATTTTATATAGTGTATATAGGAATTTTCCGAGATTGGTAATCTATTATGCGACGTGCCTCACGTTTTCCGGAATCAACTGCGCCGTGCATTGTTGAATATGATTGTGGTATAGTAGCTTCTCCAGCAAATAAAATTCTAGGAACACTTTTGTCATCAAGAATAGGATCAGAGTAGTTAGCATAATCGACAGCTTGTGTTTCCATTGAAACGTAGCTGTAGCATCCTTTGAATAGTTCACTACTGCAAAAGTTATACCTAAAAACATGTTGAGGAAGAGGTATACTATCATCATTAAGATACTTTCTTAATAAATTAGTGGACACTTTCATAAGTTCTTCATCAGTGACATTTTCATATTGTAGCGTATATGGACCAACTATCCAACCAGTTAATATATTTTGTCCAAAACTATCCTTGAAATAGCCTTGAATGGCATCTGTCCAATCTTTTGGGTCATCGGAAGGAATAAATGCAAAATGTTTAGAATCCTTCCAAACAGGATTTTCATAGTACAGTGAAAATTTACCAACAAAACCAAAGCCTATTCGATTAATTGAATGTTGTTTCATCTTAGGAAGCGGAGGATCAAAGAGATGATTAGACTGTTTCAGAACACCCAGTGGAAGAGTGACGAGAACATGATCGGCGTTAAGTTCTAAACCATTTGAACATACAACCTTTACGGTTGAATTTTTTAGCACAATTTTTTCTACTTTGTGGTTTAGTTTTATTATATCTTTAGTTCTATTGGCTTTATAGATTCTATCTTGGAAATGGTAGCAAATTTTGGCTAGGCCATCATTAACGCATGTATTGTCTCCAGTACTGATATAAGGGTCGTTTATTGAAACATCTGTCAACAATGCTCCCATGTAGCTTTCATTCATTCTGAGCAATTGTTTAAATACATTTTTAGCTTCAAGTAATTCATCGTCTTTGAAGTCTTTATAATATTTAGGGAGTTCTTTATCGAAATATTCAGCCACTGACATGTTTGGAGAGGCAGTGGAATTCTCAATAGCTTCTAATTCATTTTGTATTCTATAAAATAATTCACAGCATTTATTTGAAATTGCCTCTTTAATTCGTTTACCATTTGATTCATAAAAGCTACATTCTCGATAGCTCGAATTTGAAGTGTTGCATATCGCTTGTGCAATAGCATATGCAGAATTCTCTTTTGTATTGCCATGAATCCACTGAGCTCCCAGTTCTATCAATTTATCATAAATTTTAATGGTCTTTATCCTGCCTCCAATTTCACTACTAGCTTCCAATATCTTTACATCAGCATTGGGATTTATTTCTAGAAGTTCAGTTGCAGCCGCTAATCCTGAGAGACCAGCTCCTATTATTATTATAGACATGACGCGTGGCGCTAAACTATTGCCCTGATTTTTTATCAGAGACTATAAACTTTGAGAGGTTAAAGTATTCAGAGTGAAGCGCCAGCTAGTAGTCGGTTTCCTAAAATACAACATATATATAATCATTTTATATATTTTATCTGAAAAAAAAAGCAGTATTGTCGATATTAAGAATTAAAAAGTAGTAAAAAAGAATTTTTAAAGGCTTTAGAGCTTGATTAAATTGTCTTATTCAAATCATTAGAAAACCATATACAATGGCTACAAGTCAACAAAAGTCTTTAAATCATGATTTATGTTAAATTCTTTTACAAAAAAAAGTAATTGTTTATTAAAAATGTTAACACCAATTTACAAATATTTATATTAAAAGCTAAAAAATTAGACTGATATATATATTTTTATAAGTAAAATTGCTATGGTTACAGTAGATATCTAAACAACGGTACTTGTAATAAAATATTCATCATAAAAAATAAGAACTAAAAATTACAAGAATTTATCATAGCATATTTTAGATTAAAAGTATTATTTATAGATTTTTAAAATAAACTCTCTATATTAATGTTGGTATTCAAGAGTTAAACAGTACTTTAATTTATCATTTGAATTGATATTAATTTTAATTGATATCTAGTTTAATTATGAACAATATTAGTAAGTTTTTCAACGTTTTACAGTAGAAACAGTAAACAAAAAAAAGTAGAAGAGCAGTTTATTTTTCCCCTTCGCCTGCAAAAAACTGGACTCGCCTACATGGTCCATTCGTAGATAGAGAGTTGAAGCCGAGCCTTTAACATCTTCGCTGTTTTTCCAAAGAGAAAACAAAATGTGAAGAAAGAATACCTTTCTGTTGATTTTTTATAAATTTTTCTCTCTATCTCCTAAAAAACGACAACTCTAAATTTAAGTTGTGTGTGAGTGTTGGAATAAGTTTGCATCGTCTTTAGGAGATAACTTCTATTTCGATTAAAGTAAAAAAATATGGCACAAAAAATGGATACTAGTGATTATCCTATGACTGCTACAACCATTTCCACTGTTGCTGTACAAAGTGGAAAAGCCAAAATTATTTTGGCTATTTTAAGAGTAAGTTACCTATACATATACTTTAGTCTACTTTTCTACAATTATAATTATATTACTATTGTTTCTAAAAATAGTTAATAAAACAATCATAATAATTGTTGCATAAGAGATTCTAAAATTAAAATCTCCCAAGAAGAAATAACATACTATAACTTTAATCATACCAAAAAAAAGCTTTAACATAAATTCTTATAATCATTCTATTTTTGCTCCAGTGAAAAATATTGGAATTATTTTTAGTCTGTTAGATTTACACGTTCATGAATCATATCTAGAATTACTAAATATCATTTTAACATCCGTATCAACAATTTCAATTGCCAGACAAATATCAAAGAGCTAATAAATATTTGTTATCATAAAAAATCTTATTAACACTATTAGTTAATTAATTAACTAGGAAATTTTCAACAAATATATTTATATAAATATATAAATATACATATATTTATATAGAATGATAACTTAAAGTAAAAGTTGTTAACTCTTAAACTAAGTACACGTATGGATATGAGCGTATTTATATATAAATATACTAGTATATAAAAATATACTAGATTCATATAAAGGAAAAGAAAGAAAGCCCTAGCGCAGCATAAACTTAAGCTAAAACTAGCTCCAGCAGACCTACTGCAAATGTAGTAGGCCTAAGCAGACTGTCTGCGGTACGCTCGGCAACACGCAACTGCTAGATGGTATAAAGTTTCAGAATTCTTACTTTCTGACTCATCTTAGCGGTATGCAACTTCTTCTGCATCTTGTCAGAATTATTGCAGTGTTTAGTCATATGTGCAGACTGCAGAAGGTGTTTTCGTAGTCTTGCAGTGTGTTTGTCCTGGTTATTTATATCTCTTTGAAGTATTTTTATAATTCATGCTAGAAGAAGTAGAGTTATTCCTGAAATAGAAGGTTATATAAGCAAGTTAAACAGCAAGATTTACATTTTCTCCAATTAAAGGATTGTTTACACTTTACCATCGTGCTGGGTCTTGTTTCTAGCCTATATCTTATAAAATTATTTGGTCAATTTAAAAACATGCTTTTTAAAACATTCACTCTCGGATGAACAATGTTATTTATAACAATAAACTAGTATTAAAGTTTCATTTTCATAAAACATTTCATGAAAGCATTAAAATTTAACATTTTAAATATAAATATAAAGAGAGCCGTTAAAGTTGAGTTAAGAATTTATCATAATATGTCAAAATAATTAGAATTAAAAATAAAGGTTATATCTATTTTGCTAAAAGTTACACCATCTTATCTGGGCAAGTAGATCAAATTTAAAAATAACATAAAAACCACTTCAAACATACTAAAGATTCCCTGTAGCAAGTCTACGGTTTTTTATGTAACATTCCTCTGATATCAGCCCAAGTATAAAAAAAGGAAGACTTGCAAAATTAACATTGATGACTAATTTTATCATTTAATTCAGCATTCTATCATTTGGAAGATAATTAAAAAGTTTATACTTTTATAAGTATTTCATTGTTTATTTAATAACCACAGAGTAATGACTGGGTTCGAGTTCGAATTCAGCAAATGGAACCGGACCTTATGGATGCCGGTGTTTCACTCGATGAAGCCAGACGCTTGAGAGATCAGCATAATGACCTATTGGTTAAATTGCAGGTTAATATTTAAACTTACTGAGTCCTTCGATGGTATAACTTTATTAACTTGTTTTTCTATTAATAGCAAAAGCAAGCTGATGTCATAAAGCTTTTACAACAAGCTGATGAGGCGGTTATAGCTGATCTTGAAAGACAAGGAGCAAGTGAAGATCAACAACAAATGCTTTACTCTGCTATGACAGAATCCTTGTCCGAAGCTTGGAAAGATTTAACTTCTCAGTTAGAATTAAGAAAGCTACTTTTAGAACAAAGTATTGCTTTCCACTCAGCGGCCAATTCTTTTAGGTAATCTATGAAGAAATAGTATTTCTCCCTTTTGATGATTCTACTATTTCGTTTTATTCATACTATAGTGCCCAGATGCAATCTGCCCAGAGTCAATTCAATAACGTTGGTATTGCCCATGATATTGAAACTGCTAGAAGACTTTTAGATCAGCATCAAAATTTCAAGAAAAATATCTTGGAGTCTTCAATGAATACTCTGCAAGAGGGGCAATCCCTTTTGTACAGGATAAGGGAAATGGGTATGCACGCTGATGTTCAAAGCAGACATGCGACGACGGCTGCTTGTTATGGAATTGAGCACTTACTAGAATTATTGCAGGTTTGAATCAACTTTCTTTAAATATTGCTATTTATTTAATTGGAATATTGCATTATAATTTCAATTCTTATAGGATCGAAGACGCCAGCTGGATGAGCTATGGCTTCAAAGGAAAATTCAACTAGAACAGTGTTTACAAATGCTCTTATTAGATAAGGAAGTTCATAAAATTTCTGAATGGTTTACATCGGTTGGAGATCAATATCTCAGCATAACCGATCTAGGAACAGATTATGCTTCTGCTGCACAGCTGCAGCAAAAGCATTATCAGTTTGAAATGCAAGCAAAGGTAATATACAAGCTCACCAAAGTATTATACATCTAACAAGTATTCGTATCGATATTATAGGAAATGGAGGAAACAGTCCTTCGACTTATTCGTACGGCTGATCAACTTGTTCACAGTTCGCACTATGACGCCGAAGGTGTTCAAAGACGCCTTAAACAAGTTGACTCGCAAAGTGAATCATTTATGCTAAAAATGGATGATCGTAGGCGTAATTTGGCTATGGCAACATCATTTTTTTCTCAAGCAAAATCAACTCTTGGAAAATTAGCGGAAATCGAAAGACAAGTAAAAATGGATGATAGTTCAACAATGGCTGATGCTTACCATGTTATTTCTACTGCTGTTGTCGAAGCAACAAGCTCTGCTCTACATGATGGTCGAGCTCTATTGGAGAGGACAGGCCGCGGTGATTCCGGCTGTAAAGGAATTATTGATATGGTATATTTATATAAAATTATAATATTATATAACAATTAACATAAAAATGCATTTATAATTAATGGTTAATTACACAGTTGGAAATAATTGAAACACGAGCTCATGATCTGTTGAAGAGTTGCGAATCAAAATGCGATACCAGCTCAAAAAGTCCTCAGTACTATGAATTTCAAGATAAATACACAGAATTATACACATGGTTAATTCGTATCGTTCAAACGATGTTAGAACAGGAATCTCAACTTGGAGACAACTTAACTTCATCCAAAGACTTTTTAGATGCACACGAAAGGCTTTACGATGATATGCAATCTAAACAGTGCAATGTAGAGCGAATCGTCAAATTGTCTAACGATTTACAAGGCTCGAGCGATATTGTCGCCGATGATGTTGACAGAAAGGTTTTCTGCTATATTTCAAAATCTTTTTCTTGATTTTAATCTTTGATTTTTCTTTAAGGTATCAACTTTAAGAGATCAATGGAATAGCCTACACGACTCTGTAGAAAGAAGAGTACATTTATCATTAGCCTATGTCGCCTTTCATAAGACAGCTATGCACTTATCTCAAAAGATGGATGCGCTTGAACAATTTGTTAAAATTGAAAAAGTCGATCCATCTACAATAACGGACGGATCTGTGAAACATAAGGAAGAAACTTGGCAAGAAATGAATAAAGGATACAATGATGTTGAATCAAGTGGAAAATCTTTTGTTAATAATGCTGCTGAGGTTGTTATATAAAAAACGTTAATTATATATCTCTAACATTATTTTGAAAATAGTTGAATGAACGTTGGTTGGATACTCCTCATGCTGTTCGCGTAGTAGAGACGACTATTAGTAGATTAAGTCAACGACGTCGTCTCCTCTCTGACTACTACGAGAATTGGCGTGTTCATGTGACTAGCGGACGAGAATTCAAGTCTCAATGGCACCAATTTATTCAAGATGCTAGAAAGGTAATATCTTTTATTCAATTTAAGTTTCACTGCTTGTCTCAGTTATTGTATAATATTTACGAATACGTGAAATCTTGCTGCGAAAAAGTCGTCAAATGTAATAAAATTCAAATATTCTTAACAGACAATTGACAACATAATGCGCAAAGAAGACGACTTTTTCCCAGCAATTGCCGCCGAACTAGGCTCTTCGGCTTCGAATACTAACGAATATAGAAAAAAATTAGAAGAATTCAGACCATTTGTTCGGGTAAATATATATTTCTTTATTTATTTATTAACAGACAATCACTTGGATAATGGAAGAGGAAAAAAATCTTTTTCGTCCTTATATCGCTGGTTATTTAGGCAAATCACCAAGCGATATTCAAACTATGAAGGAAAAACTTCACAAGTTTCAACCTATTGTTAAGGTTTCGAGAATCATCCGATTTTTTCAAACCAATACAAATTTACTACTTTTAATCATCAATTTTTTTGATTCTACTAATTTATTTATTTTAATAGAAAGCGCAAGAGGAAATTGAAGGTCATCTTAGAATGGCGGAAAAGCTGTCTTTGAAAGGGGATAGTCATGGTGAAAAAGAAAAGATTGTTAATGAACTCTTGAAAGTTCATTCTAGACTTTCGGCTCGTGTAAACGAGTATAATATACTTTTGAATATGACAAGTAGATTTTTCGAACAGCTAAATAAGGTTAGAAATTGAACGATTTTTGGACTTTTTTCAAGTGTAATAATGCTTTTAATTTTTGTAGCTGGATGAATTAATTTCAATGACTGAGAAGCAATACAAAGCGACACCTTTACCTAAGGATGTTGCCCATGCTGAAATTATGCTTCAACAGCATGAAAATAATAGACATAAAGTTTTAAAACAGATTGATTTCGTTGCCGATGATGGAGAAACTATTGTGAAGCGTGTGAGGCAACAAGATTCAGAAGCTACTGCAAAAGACGAAGTTCAGAATGTCCTGCAGCTTACCGAAGATAGACGAGAGACGTGGGAAAGAGCTTGGGAAGCTCAACGTCGAAAACTGGAACAGAATTTACATATATGCCAATTTTATTTCGATTTAAAAACCGTAAGTTTTTACTCTAGTAATTTTTTAGAAATTTTTATTATTATAACATGTTTTTATTCATTTCCATCAGCTGCATTCAGAGCTTGATGAATTACATCGTCAATTAGAGGCTAAAAAGGGCAACTACGGAACGTCTCTTTCATCTGTTAGGACTATTTCTGAAGCCTTTAAAGCCTTCGAATTAACGACTGAGCTCGTTAAGAAGAAACTGGATAACTTTGAGCAGGCATCGAAGGAAGAACTTTCTTCAATCGACGATGCCGACTCCGCAAGTATTGAAAGAGAAATTGATTCGTTAAAGAGAAAGTGGCAAGCATTCTGGGATGCTGTTCAAATGTACAGAAGAGCTCTTGATGTTGCTGAAGATTTCTTCAATGAAATGGAAGAAGTAGGCATTCAATTTACTTATTATTCACTCTTATTTAATTAACTTTATAAACTTAACCAGTGCGAAGAATTTATCAAAACTATTTACGACGTATCTTCTAAAATAAGAAAAGATGCCGTCAAATGTACAACTTCTCAAGATGTGGCTTTACTATTGAAAACTTTGGATAACTTTAGAAAAGAGGGTTGTAACAAGCAAAATGAACGACTATCAAATATGGATGATAGAATAAACATTGTTTTTGGATCTAGAGGGCAGAGTCGCCTAAAAAATATTGTTGACAGGTATGGAAACCAATATTAATTTTCAATAAAAAAAAATAAATGTAATAGTGTCAACCTAAGGAGATTAGATTCTATAGATTAAAAATTTATCTTGAAGTCTTTCTTATATTTGTATGTCTTGACAGCTCGACTGTCGTTTATTTTGTTAAATAATATTTTAAGAATTAAGTTTATGTTCAAGATAATCTTGCAATAATAATGTGCTGATTAATGTAATGTTAATGACTTAATCCACTTGCTCAAAATATTTATGCTATTACGCCTGATTAAATTTAATGACTATCTATCATACTTATTATAGGAATAATGAAGCCGTTAATCACCTTAGTCGCGTTGTGGATGAGTTATCAGAAATCAATGATCACTTAATTAAAAAAGAACAGCTTGTTTCCGTAATGGAGCAGGTAGTTGACGCTCCGAAAACTGCTAAACCGAAAATTACAAGTCCTTTACAAAATGCTCAGGTCACAGAAGGTCAAAGGTAAGTTCAAGTAAATTTATTTATAGCCTGAAAAAAGTATATCATAAAGTAACCCTTTTCATAATTTTACTTATAATAATATTACAGAGTTGTAATGGAATGTCACATCCAAAGCGATGTTATACCGAAAATTGAATGGTATAAAGACAATATATTAATATCTTCTCCCGACTATCAACCGCACTTTCAAAATGGAAGAGCAACATTAACAATTGACGAAACTTTCCCGGATGATTCTGCAAATTATACATGCAAAGCTTTAACTCCAACAGGGAGTGCAGAAACTAGTGCCAATCTGTTTGTTAAAGGTATATGATAAACTTTTAAACTAACACTCACCTACTGTTATTCAGTTGTGCTAATTTTTTGATACATTAAATTCGTTTGTTAATAAAGCATTAGACCAAAATTCAATAGGTAAACTTAAGTAAATACCTGTAGAGGTATTATTATTTATAATGAGTTTTAGACCTTTAAATATTCAGCCTACTTTTTTTACAAAAAAGTTTACCTGCATTTAGGCTATAAATACCATTAATTCATTATTTATCTAAGATATTAAAATCATTTTGTTTACAAAAAAATATATTTTTACAGGGTTTAATTCAAACTAAACTATAAATGCTTTTACTTCTTGTTTATAATTGAGAAGGAATTATTTTTAATTGCTTTGTTTTATTGATGATTGTTAGCATTCTCTAAATCAATACCTTTTTTTATAGGCTTAGCTTTATCTATACCCTATTTCTTTAAAAATAAGAGACAACTCTTACTTTTTATTATATGCTCAATTTATTCATTTTCAACTTTTCGAAACACGTTGAAAGTTTATACTGCATTGTAAAAAAAAAATTGTTTAATGTATCAAACTCTTACACAAACTGATAACACAATTACTATGCACTCTAACTCTCCGCTTCTCACTTCTAATTTTTCTTAGAAACTCACCGTAAAGTAGATCCTCCCGAATTCACCCGGCAGCTGCGGTCGGTATGTGAGGTACCGGAAGGTACCCAGCATGTTCTTGAGTGCCATGTTACCGGAATACCCACACCAAATATATCGTGGATGAAGAATAATGAGTGTATCGATGATGAACCGGAATACGTTATAACAAAGATCAACGGAACATGTTGTCTAAAGATCAGGAGAGCCACTCGGGAGCACTCCGCAAAATATACATGCTTAGCAGCAAATAACGGGGGTTCTGCTAGTAGTTCTTCAACTGTTCACGTTTTTCGTAAGTGTTCTTCGCAAGTGCACAATTCTATTTTTACCTTAGAATTCAAGAGTATCATTCAATCATCGATACAATGCTTTAAAATTATATTTGTAACCGCTTTTTTTGCTTTTTCCTATCAATCTCTATCATTCATCTGCTATGATTTGTAACACTTGGAAGACGCAAAGGGAAAGTTGCATCTTTGAACAATGATAAATCCTTTAAGCAATTCTTATAAAGAATTTTGACAGTAATAGCTGAATTTTACACAAAGACCTAAATATTTAATGCTCTTCTGTTCATATTTATATTTGGTACTTGAAAAAAAATCTTTAAATACTAAATATAAATAAAACTATAAAGAAACTCTGACGTTTATTAAAAGTAAAGTAAAACCGAATTTTTTTATAATGAATCGTAAAATTTTTATCAAAGAAAACTCTTAGATATTGTACGAAATCGGAAAATGAAAGATTTGTTTAAAAGCATCCTTTGCAAAAATTCCTTTAACCATTAAAGTTTTTCTAAAATTTTAACTAAAGGTCAAAATACTATTCTTGCAGCGGTTGAAAAGCCCATAATTAGAAAACAACTACCGAATGTTGCTGCTACTGAAGGAAATCCCGTTAAACTCAAGATGGACTTTAGCGGGAGACCACCTCCGCAGGTCACTTGGCTAAAAGGAGATAAACCAATACACAATTCTCACGTTCACAAGGTAAATAAAGCGTTAGGTCTTCTATTATAAATCATAATTACAACTCGCTTAAGACTAAATAAGGGGAGGTCGCAAGACTTTTAACACTTATACGATAAGTTAGTTTTTTAACTAGCTCACTTATAGAAATCGTTTCAATGTTGTTTTTTCATTACAAGTCGTAGGGAAAGTCGGCGAAATTGAGTTAGGCCTGGATTGCAAATAGAGAAGACACACTTCAGTTATTGCATTTAATGTCGATACCTTTCACAAACTAGAGCTTTTTTTTATTAAATTTTCAACTTTTCTTATTAACTTGTAAAGAATTCTTAAAAAATTCCTTTTTTAATAATACTTTATAATTGTAAAACTTTTTAATTACATAATAGCTAGTGTCATATATCCAGTATATAAAATTTTTGGAAGATTATGTCACGCTGAAATATGATCCAATAATATGAAATCCATTAATCCGTTAATCCGTTAAGCTGTCTGCCAACTGCGTTTTACGGGAGGTGTTAGAACTGTTGTACCCTTAAAGTTTTGATCGGTATCTCTTCGATATTCGGTCCATGCAGATGTTTCAGACAATTTAATCCTTTTTAATCCAAAATCGGAGTGACCTTGTTAATAAACTTTATTTTAGCAAATACTTATTTAATTTTATCAAATACATAAAGGATTAGGAATAATGTAGAATATTTATTCTAAGCACCCTTAAAGAGTTATGCTATATACCAATCGGTCTAATGACCCTAGATCAAAAGCCGAATGAAAATAAAATAAGATTGAGATAAGAGTTTTCAAGCACTAAACTTACTCTTTAGAGATTTATTTTTCTCCATATATTCGCAAGGGTATACAATCCTAATAGGCATAGGTTGAAGAAAGACAACTTCTGTCTCCGAAACGAAGTTTAGAACGTTGCAATCTGACATCATCCTTTTAAGTTAGACTGATCCTTAAAGAATAAAAATGAAAATTAATAATTATTTATAAGATATGCCAAAAATATTTAATAACTTTCAAAAAATCTTCAATGGTATATTTACATTAATACTTATGACTATAAAAATTAATAATATATATAATTTATGTTATATTATAAACTGTATAGTCCAAAAAAGTATACATCAAGACACTTAGCGGTCTACTGCACGACTTTTGGGCGTATTCTAAAATGAAACTTACGAGGTTAAAAGTAGGCAATTGGGAATTTCTATTCAGCTGTCGCATACGAGTTTAATAAAAAAACGTACCCGATTATATCGCTTATCAATGTCGAAAAGAACTGTCAATATATTTGAATAGATATTGCATAAAAATTTGCAGCTAGTGCTCAAGGATAAACAATAACTGCTTATGACGCAGTGTTAAACAAATTTTACATTTTGACTTGACCTGACCCGACCTATCGGTCGTTGTTCTACCAATATCCTTGCAAGTAGTTTGTTGTATTGGGGCTACCAACTATTATGTGTGACACTAGGTGTTCCTATTGGAAAAAACAAATCGGAGGATTTGAAATGTTGTTTTAATGAGTTTAGTAGGATTTGTAACCCTTTTTAATTCGAATCAGTAGGAAACTTTGATCCCCTATTATTAATACGAATACTCAATAAAGATTTATAACAGAGTAAAAATTTAAGATAAGAAAAAAGATAAGTGTGTTGGTAAACATTGAATTAACTTAATAAAAAATCTAAACTTTTTCTTTTAGGTGTAAGCGTATTTAACAAAAACTATGTACGCAGGTATATTGTACTGTATTTACGTATATAAAATATAATATACCTTAATTGATTTGTAAATTTGAGACCTTATTTATGTAAAATTCTTCTGCGTTCAATTATAATTTGAACTATTAACCTGAAAAATCTATTTTTTATGAACAATTTGAATAAGCAGCAATTTTTACCGAGTTATTATTTAGTTTATTCTGTTACGCTCCTTATTGTAGTCTCTCTTTTCAGACCGTTCATAAACGAACGTTTATTTACGGATTGTGTTATGCGAATGTAAACAATCTGACGTTCTAGGCTATTTGAGTTTTACATTCTGAAAGTATCAAATATCGTTAAACTGATAAGAAATTTTTATAGACTCAATCTATTTTTCTTTCAAAACGATATGATCTTTTAGACAATAATATAACTTTGACGAGTTTATTCAACGATGATGGCTTAATATGTCAAGTAATTAGCATTGTATATGTAGTTAAAATACTTAGATTTTATCGCATCTATTTATGAAAGATGATTATAATGGGTGTGTTTAGAGTAAAAGTTTACAAGCATTTCCTATCCTATTCACATGTTTGTTGAATAATCCGATTATTTTCACCGTTGATTAACTCCTTTTGAACTATATAATTGGAAAAGTACGAAAATAACACAAATTCTTCTTAGAAAACAGTCTACTTTAAACACTTAACAAACTTTACGAACAAGTGTCAAAACGTTATATTTCATAATAAAATATATAATTTAGATTTTTTTGCTCTCAATTCAATAGAAATATCTACATGCGAAACAAACCTTTACTTTTATCAGGTCGATTTCAGTTTGAAAAGTAAATTTAAGATTCAGATTGTAAATACTTGTACTAAATGTCAGCCTACGGTCTAGTTTTTATCGGTGAATCAAATTTTAAGTATTATAATATACAATAATATAATAAAGATACAGTAGATGTATATTTATATTGTTATTTATTTTTGTATTTACTTCAATTTACTATATATGCATATGTGCACAGTATGTGGATATATAGTACGTTTACTGTATGCAGTATACACACATATATATATATATACTGTATATAAATATATATATATAGTATATATGACGATGGTTTTGAGTAAGCATTAGCTTTTAAAATTGAAAGAATATCGTATTATATTACAAGCGAAACTTGTTTCATAAATAGATCCCGCATGACTCTGTTTTTAACATATATAAATATATATTATATCAGCCTTTTTTCAAGTTCAGGTACAAGCCTTGATATATATATATACTGTCTATATAGTATTTCATAGTATTTCGGCCTAGAATAAACTTCTCTTATTAGTTAATTTATGCAAAAATTTTTCTTTTATTATTATCTTTAAATTTTTTTGTGAAGATAGAATAAGAAAGGAAAATAATAATTTTTTATTAACGGGTAGAGCTTTCTTATGTGTTTAATTTACCGTGTAGATTTTTATTCGGTTTAAATACATTTAATATAGCCACCATATATAGAGTTTTGATTTCTTTTACAAAAGAATTTTTAACTAAAAAGGAACCAACCAAAGTCCACTTTTAGTCGACTTTACTTTAAAATATCTTAGTTAGATATTATGGAAAAATTAAATAATATAATAAAATAACAACGACACTATTCTTATGCTAATAAATGGGAATTTAATGGGCAAACAAATGAATTTTTAGTCTCGGTTCCTCTTAAGATTTCTTTATCAACACCTATCAAAAATACACCAACTTCCTATTTGTTACTTCAAGTGACATTTAGGAGAAAGGCCTACTATCTCTAATATATCTACTTTTGTATAGATCGTGTTTGTATGAAAAGGAATATGTTTTAGTTTTGCTCTTTTCAGGTCACGGTTGCTGAACATCAAACGACGTTGGAAATCGTTCGATTAACTCCTGCTGAATGCGGAACTTACACTGTTGTACTTAAAAATCTCGGTGGTGAAACAAGATCATCATGTCTTGTTTCCCTGTCCTCAGGATCTATACCGTCGGATATAGATCATCAGAAGCCTCAAGTCTTGGAACCGCTACGTAACGTTGATCCGAAATTAGGCCAAACAGTTTTTCTGGAATGTATTATAGCAGGAGCAACCGAATGCGAAATTACATGGTATCACCAAAACCGTCCTATTAGAGAAAATAATCGAATCAAATTTCTGTTCGACGGTGACAAATGTTGCTTGCGAATTAGTAGTCTTAAAAATGAAGATTACGGATCTTATATATGTTCAGCTACAAATTTACTTGGAACGGGTAAAACTCAATGCGCAGTTATCCCACCTGTTAGGTCACCAGATCAAGCTGAGCCACCTCATTTTACACTTTTGCTCAAAGATCTCGAAGATTATGAAGGCGAAATGGTTAGATTCGAATGCTGCGTAAATGCATATCCAAATCCTACTATCAAATGGTTCAGGAATGGGAAACCAATTGAACATTCAAACGATTTTCAAATATCTAATATTAACGAATTACAAATTCTTACAATACCCGAAGCTTTCAGAGAAGATGGAGGAAATTTTTGTTGTGAAGCCAAAAACGTTGCAGGAGAAGCTAAATGCTATGCGACCCTCATTGTTAAACCTATGTCTGAGAAACATGTCATGAAAACCCGATTACTAGAAACATCTCAAACTGTAAAGAAAACTCTCGTTGGCGATCATTTGCAAAAACCGCCTGAACTAGTTAGACCTTTTAATGATTTTAAGGCAAGACCAGGTAAACCTTGTAGAATGGAAGCGGAATTATCCGGAAATCCAGAGCCTACAGTTACATGGTACTTTAACGATGAACCGATCGTATCACCCGATTATCAGATATCGAGAAATGGTAACGTTCACACTTTATACATACCTGAAGTTTTTGACGAAGACGCAGGGAGATTTTCACTTATTGCTGAAAATTCTAACGGTAAAGCCACCTGTACCGCTCTGTTAGTCGTTGTTCAAGACACTGAAATTGACGATATAACCGACAATGCACAAGCCAGAGAGCATATGACTGTGCCAAGTATTGCGCAAAAGAGGGCGCTTTCGCCGAAACACTTCTCTCCTGTTGTTGGTTCTCCCCGGGGTCCCTCTCCCAGGGACCTCGGTAGGACATACCAACAAGTCGATCTTACAATGGAGGTTCCAATTCCACCTAAATTCCTAAAGGAACTAAAGAACATTACTGCGATGGAGGGAACTAGAGTGAAATTTGACGCAGCTGTAGAAGGCAAACCAAATCCAACGATAAAATGGTTTAAAGAAGGTAAAGAACTAAACGACACAGCCGACTTTGAAATATCTTATAGGAATGGAAGAGTCGAATTGGTAATTCCTGAAGTATTTTGTGAAGATTCTGGGAAGTTTGATTGCGTAGCAAGCAATAAAGCCGGAACAAAAACATCTTCAGCTGAATTAATAGTCAAAGGTTAGTTATCTTACCATATAAATAGAGTTTCTTAAACTTTTCATTGAATATA